ATTCACACTTGAATGGAATGATGAGACTGGAGTGAAAGTAAAATGAAGAAGAGCTGGGCAATATATTGCTTCAGCCACCATCCACCTGTACTTACTTGCTAGAATCTCACAACTATTATGACTGCTTTATCCTCCCAAAATACATTTGACTTTAGTATTATTTTGTAGCGCAATATGAGACTGGCAGCTCAGAAGTACTCGACAGAATCTTTGACTCGCTGGGTTTGGTAGTGTTATTATGGGATGAGTTTCTTTTGTCTTTTGACCAAATAAGTGGAAGTAATTTGACAATATTGTTTTCCATGATATGTTTCTTGCAGTTTAGATGCTGCAGGAGATTCGTTCATTTCACAAAGTTTCCACTTGAATACAGCATGGAGCATGCAGTTTCTTTCTCTTCATTCATTTCGAAATTACTTACGCTCCAAACGGATCGTTCGTTGCATGTATGTAATAACTCCTTCGTCGCAGATTCCAAGCCCAAATAATCATTCAATGTTTGAATTGACTGCACAGGTCAAAATCCTTGTTTACACATGACAAAGGGAAGGGAAACTTTCTCACACTTTTGCAACATGTAGAAATAAAAGTACCATCGTCTGATAGCCTTCAGTGATTTTCAGTTCAAACAGAGATGATCTCATCTCCTAAAGGCCCTTTTGAAGAACTAACTAACAGTTTGCGTATGTACAAAAGTGCACGAAATGAAATGAACGTATGTAGACATACATATAAGGCAGAACATGGGTCGACGGTCCATATCTACCTTGGCCCCAGTATTCAGCCTTTGTTTGGTTTGAACTCCAGCTTTGGGTATGTATGTGCTCGTGCTTACAATATTATGCGATTTCTGACTGAGTGAATCATGGGCGAATGTAACGGTTTGGTTGAAAACAAAGGCATGCATGCGTTATGCAGCTATTAGTACAAATGTACGCAGAACAGTTATTCCTTGGTTTGCCTGCCTGGGAGCAAATGAAGAAATATTGCTTTGTTTTGTGGATGTGTGGAAGGGATTTTCTGGTTGGTGAGACAAACCTCATCAACAATTCAACAGATTGAAAAATAAGATAGAATGTAAACATTCATTGACTGGTGGGCACGCGACTTTCTCCTGTGTGATCACGTGTCGAGGCTCATAACTCCTCCGACCCCCCACCAATCTCCTCTGGGCCCAATTCGTCTCCCGATTCAATAAATATGTTAACTTTTCAACATAATACATTTCAATAAAGTAATGACTGGTGTGTGGCTGTTGGTCACCATCAAGATCTATTACTGATTTAGCTCCCTGCTGTAAAAATGATTGACAGATTGGCACACTTCACGTCATTCATCCCATTCATTGTCATCAGTCAGAGCGGCTCGCAACTCTTCTCACACGGGCACTCAATTCATCTCGAAACACCAAGGGATCAATGAATTTCGACTGTACTGGCCACACCGCCCAATAATCATTCCACTGGCAGGAAATCACTCAGTCACCCTACCTGCTACACTAAAGAAGTAAGTGGCATTTCCTGTGAATGGTCTTGTGACGGATGATTGAAATATGACCCACTCATACTATTCCAAAAAACCATCAACCATGGCATGATACAGGTTAGTGTAGATCGAACCAGTAGTAAATGCATTGAGTGGCATCTTTGCCATATTTTAACTGCCTTAAAATTGTATTCATCAATTTATTTCGCTGACATCAGTCAGAGTTGTCACTTTCGTATAGTCTATTACATGCGTGCACAATGCTTGCCTACATATTTACATATGGTTAACTAACATGGGGAGAGGGGTCCAACAACAAATTTCCTGTAAAGTGATATACGTAAAATGCTGGAAGAAAGCAGCCAGAATTTAAATGGGATGAATACAGCAAAGGGTTACTCGTGAAACTAGATTATCCTCGCTTTACTCGTAGTGTGATAGACATATATATTAGGGAGCAAAGTAACCGTGAAAAATCAACTGTCTGCCTGATTGTTAAAATTGTACATTGTTGAATCTGCTAAACTAAATGAACATTCCATTTCCAGCAGCAACATGACTCGACTGAAAGCCGATCTGTGCAAAGCAACACGGCAGTACCAATGCATGTCCTTATAAATTCACGCATGAAAATTTAATAGAACTTTAGGATAACTCACTAACATTTCTGCAAATTATGTCAAACCTATATTTATTTCATTCGGGATAAATATTGATGTTTTACTTACTTTTTCTAATCAAAATAATGTACTTATTCAACAAGGGAATTTGCCAACCAAGGCTTTGCCAGAAAAAAGTTAGCTAAATGAAGAATGACTGAAAAGAGGGCAGAAAGTAGAGAACTTTTGGGTGCTGAGGAACAAGTGGATGAAGGAAACGAAGGGTAACAAATTACAGGCATGAAGGAAAACTAAGCACATTTCTTTCGTCCTCCTCCCCGATTCCCGATCCACAAACTGTGGCGGAGCAGGCAAGTAGCAGCCTTCTGTTGACATTGAGAAGGGGACAAATGATCCTAATTTTTTAATTTTAATTAAAACTTTTGCCAAGATTTTGCCCTTTCAACACAACTTTCGACTTTTCTCCTCTCAAGCCCAACTCGGTGTCAGGACCTCTCATGCAGCGAAAGAGTGGGAGGCGAGCAGGAAGTATAGAAAGAACGAAGCAAGGTTTCTGATGCATGAGGTTGGAGCTAATGAGTGGAACGGCATAATCTCACCCGGATGAGTGGAAATCTTTCATTTTGACAGACACTGTACGTAAGTAAGTGCTTATACGAAGGAGAGAGAGCGATTGTGCACGAGAGAGCCAAGAGGCTGATGAGAGGTTAATGAGTTGCTGAGTTGTGATTCCACATTTGTCTTTGGAAATTCTTTTACACTCGGTTTATTAGCTTATCGTCAAACGTTCTTCGAGTTTCTGGAAATTTGCAATACAAAACACAACTTTTTTTTCATTTATTATTTTTTCAAGACAGTAAAATAAAAATAGCAAATTGACTGTACTAAGTAATCTTCCACTTTACACAGCATTTTCTTTGTCTTGACGTATTTACATAAGTATGCAAGTACAGTGGGAGTTTCATAAATCTGTCAGTACAAAAAGTGATTCACTTGATTGCAGTTGGTAATCGTTTCCTGTACGAGCGACAAATTACTTGTACAATTGCTTTCTCACACCTCCTTAGTGCACTAGTACTGCTATTGTATGAAACTTTCTTACTGCCAATGCCAACATAGAATGCAAACTCTTTTCTATTTTTGCAGTTGCTTCCTTCTGTCAGGCTCAAAAGTTGCATCAGATATTTGTTGCATGAAAAATCACGCGCTTGTTGGTGAAATTAATTTGGTAAGGACAGATGCATGAATTTACATGCTTGGTTTTAGACACCGGGTGACAAAAGTGGAGAAAATGGACACCCTTGTAATAGCCATGAAATCTCAATTTGTCAGCAGAATACATTCTGTACGACACTGGATATATATACAGAAATATAAATATGGGCAGAGAGTCAGGTGCGGATGGTGGTAAATCAAACGGGATGAAATATCTCATTATGCAAGAGTAAGTCATGTTGTCGTCCCTCTCCACTTTTTTGGATGAATGGACATTCATTGAAAAGTGGAAGCAAAGGGAGCAACACGTGTTGCCGATTTCACGATCTCACCGATCATAATCGGGATACCTAAAACCCTATACTTTTTCAGTTGCATAATACATACACATATTATGTGCCCTTCGACTGAACAATAAAAATGAGCCCTCATAGTTCACTCGTGCCGTGTATAAAAGTCCTCCCCCCATGCTCCACAGACGGGGATGGCAAGTTTGAATAAGTTGAGATGAACCTGCCACACAGAACGTTTCTCCGAGAAACTAGCCACCTTAAGCCAATTGCAATATTTGTACCTAAATAATTTTTGCGTGCATATAACGATGTTTTAAATATGATTACATATATTTTTAATAAATAATGACTTTAATGAATCAATTTGATGTTATAGTGTTCAGAAGCAAATAAATGGATCGCAGTAACCAATAATGGATTATTGCTATTTCTATTTCTATATATGCATATACAAAGTGTGCATAAAGTTTCAATAAAAGATGAGTAAGCTACCCATTGTTTCACTTGGTTGTAATCCCTATTCATTTTTCTCCCTCCACTGAATGTGCAAAGGGTCGGATAATATCACAGTTATGAGTTGAATGTATTAGGTCAACCAAAAAAGTATAATGCGTGTGTGCATAATGTGGAAAATTTCAAACGAAGCAGGCGCATTCTTTAAATAAATCTGCTTATCTGCTTACATCAAATTCATCATTATTGAACCATCATCGCATTTCTTTGTTTAAACCTAATGATATCGACGATTTTTAATATGACCGGAAACCGCTGTGGTTCAACATTTTCGCCTCCATGAATATAACCAAACAATATGAAATGTTCTTTTTTTAGCAAAATGGCATCACCATGATTTTCTTTCACTGCTAGTTTTATACATTTTTTTAACCCACCCGATTTTCACGGATTACTAATTAAATAATAATCTAACCCTATTCAATGTCACATGTCCATGCATGGTCAAGATCTGTATGCTTGATATCTAAGTATTTCAATAAAAGTATGGTCAACCGTGTTGACTGGGGACATTTTTGATATGCTGGTGACAAGATGTGGTGGTCACGAGTTTCAAGTCTTGAGAGAGAGAGTGAGAGCGTGAGATTAAATATGAAGAGGCCAAGGAGACAGGGAAGCGTGAGGCTAGTTGCCATGCAGGTCATGGTGGAAGGAGTCTTGGTCGCAGCAGTGGTCGTGGAAGGAAAAAGTGTAAAAATGGAGGAGCATGGAGGAACATTAGTTGGTGGAGAGACAGGAGATAGACAAGTCTGGAACCGGAAGAAGGACAAGCAGTGAAAGGGAGAGGAGGAGGCGGAGAGTTGGGCGGAGAGTGAGCGACCTGACTCCTCGCATCCTTCGCCAACTCTCCATGTTCCAACTTTCTCCATAAAACCACCAAACCTCGCTGCTCCTCTGGGCAGAAGGAAGCCAGAATCATCCGAGCCAGCTATCTCACCAAATCCATAGGCACTTTCTCACTCCATTCGGTCCCCAATTCCTTCCCACTTGGTCTCGAGCAGTTTCGAAGGAGATGTGATAAGGTGTCAAAGGAAATTGAAGGCTAAGGCTACGGTCTCTCCATTCGACTGAAGGAAAGTGAGACTTTTAAAAACGGCGTGGTGGTTTTTGAGTGAAATTGTGAAAGTGAACGTTATGTTAGAATTTACCAAGGAAGCTTTGAAGGACCCCGACTCTGCTGGTAAATAGCTCTAAATAGTTCATAAAGATTATAGTTGTAGATTCACAGAAGTTGATTCCTTTAAAAGAATGTTCATTTACCAATGTATTTGATTTAAATGCAATCGATATGTAATTAATTTGTACTCTAATTTTGCTAGTTCTAATTTTGAATGCAGGGAAAAATACAACTTAATTAATACTATGTATATATATCTATATTTATAGCTTAAGTTTGTTAACGCATTTGTGTATGTTATCAATTCCGTGATGCATATTTTAGATGGGATGCGAGTTCGGGGTGAAATTTGTGAGGGATGTGGCCAGAAAATACGCGATCGTTTCTTGCTGAAAGTAGGTGACACCCCTTGGCATGAAGAATGTTTAAACTGCTGTATCTGCCGTGTGCCCTTAAGTCACGTAAGAATTTCATCTTGAGCGCAATTGCAGATCTGCCCTTGGACTTCATTTTGTAATGCCCATTTCAGTCTTGCTACTGGAGGAACTCTAAACTTTACTGTAAGCATGACTATGACCGGATTTTTGGAATCAAATGTTCTCGGTGTGGTGAACGAGTATTGTCTCAAGAACTAGTCATGAGAGCAGCTGTAAGTACAATTCAATTCCAATTTTCATGATTATTTGCATTCTGAACAGTTTATGCAATTTTAAGAAACATACATACATATGTTCACTTACATCAATACCTGATTAGGGGCATAGATCAAACTATTGAAATGCATCTTGACATCGCTTTAAAACAATGATGCAGCGGGTAACCAAATATTATATGCCTTGCACTAGAAACTTATTGCACTTGGAGACAAATGTTCAGAACGAGGATTTCATACATGCATCCGACTCAAATCTGAATTTTATGATACTCATATGTTACCGTCGATGCCACTTTCTCCGCTCACTCCGGCTGAATGAATAACAAAACTTTTGGTCTTCCATGCGCCAATTGAAAAACCTCCAGTACAAATAATATGTAATGTAGAAACCCAGTTTATTTCATCAAACTACCCGATAATTTTTATCTAACTTTCACTGATAGATTACATGTTTCTGAATTTCAATCACTGCTGTAAGGCATTCGTTTGTCTAAGATTTAAAAATTAAGCCTATATTCCGAGCTAGCAATTTATCTATTGATTTACGCAAAATTTCAAAAACATTTGAAAATTGGTACCCCATCACCCACTTACAATGGAGGTCTCCCAGCGTATGCTCTCAGATTTTGACCAAATTACATAGTGCCAATCGATCATAAATTTAATCAATATGGAATTTGCAAAAGACATGATCTCCTAATGCTCAAGTTTGAAAGAGATATTTGCACCCGAGAAGGAGAAAGCGCGCCCTAAAGTTAACAATTTTACATTTTTCACTGCGCGTTTTCTCCTCTGCGAATATCACTTCCAAACCTGAGCATTGGGAGATAGCGTCCTTTGAAAATTTCATATTAATTAAATTTGTGATCGACTGCCATTGATTTGGTCAAAATCGGAAAGCATGCGCTAGGAGACCTCCATTATTAGTGACCCCTCCACATATTAACAATTAATCGATTTTCTTCGAAAAGGTCCTTCATTTGACCTAATACATACGAGTATCGATTCGAAATAGTTATCGTGACAATGAACAGATAGACAGAAATACATGACTGTTCCATTCTAACACTCGTATGTACTTTTGATTTTCTTGAATTAATGTTTCATATACGAATGTCGAACAATAAGCCGCACATTCATATACATGTACACACAACTTATTTACTTTCTCGAATAAGTAAAACATTGTTAAAGTTTTAGAATACCATAAAAAACCAAATTGATTTCTTTTATTTCAGAATCAAGTGTTTCATTTGAACTGCTTTGTGTGTGCCGCATGTCTTTGTCCGTTAAAGGTGAGCAATACTTTTGCTAATCATGTCAAATTTACCATATACTAAAATAAGTTGTATTTCCCTTTAAATAATGCGTCCATGAACAATCATCAGTCTCAACCTCTTGTCCCATATCCTAAATAATTTATCTATATCTATTGCAGTCTTGTTTAAAAACCTTGCTATTTTTAACGCTTAACTTACGAGTGAGTTGAATTCACTGAAATTGATTCATGCAGAAAGGTGAGCAGTTTGTATTACGTGGATCTCAAATATTCTGTCGTGCGGACTTTGAGAAAGAACTGTACCTCCTCCAGCAGGCAAATAGCCCAAGAGGTATGATTATCACTTTTAAATCACTACTTCCAATTCACCAACCACTCGTGCATTTTTCATGTGCCGTGGTGAGTGAGTGGGTGAAAGCCACATGATATGTATTACGACATTAGCCATGATATTTTTACCCTTTATCCACAAAATTATTTTAAATCACAGACATTTTCCTTTGCTGCACTGTTATCCCCTTTTATGACACTTTAAGAATCAGTTACCTCATCGTTATTTCCCGTGTGTACAAGAGCACGATTATTAGTATTAGCCCAACTACTTCACCCATACAGTTGCATGTGTGCGTCTCAAACAAAATGCGTGCTCTGTTAAATATCTAGCAATATTACTTACTTTTCAATATTTCATTACTGAATTACATAAGCTAAAGAACACCCGTAGGCTTTACTGCATTGATTTCCACGGTATATTTAAATGTGCGTAAATAGAATTATTTCATGTGTGTGGGCGTTAAATTTCAGGGAGTGATGATGTGATTGGGGATGAGAATAGCAGACCTCGCGATGGCAGAAGAGGTCCGAAACGACCTAGAACAATTCTTACATCGGCCCAGCGACGACAATTCAAAGGTAAGAAATGTACAAAAGCAGGTTAGAACTTTTCCTCTGGCCAATATCCGTCCGATATTATGTATGTAATACGGTTTTTGCTGCAATACTGATCAGGTGCCATAAACGTACATATGCAGTATGTGTAATTTGTTTTTCTTTCTCATTACAGCTTCATTTGAAATCAGTCCAAAACCATGTCGAAAGGTTAGCAATAGGCTTTGTTTGATAACACGATTTACGTAAGAGAATGTCCTAACAATACATAACCGAATTATATACACTCGTAGGTGCGAGAAGCGCTGGCGAAAGAAACGGGTCTCAGCGTCCGAGTGGTCCAGGTTTGGTTTCAGGTAATAAAGTGTTTTATATTTATGTATATTTATAGATCTCATATCTAATAATTTATAATTATATATTTGTTTTTCAGAATCAGAGGTGAGTCTTAATTGTGGCATGTAACCCCTTTATCCAGCCATGCATATTCAACCAATAATTGTATTGTAGTCATTTAAAAGTCGTTTCTAGTATCGTAATATTCATGTGCGTTCTTCAGGGCAAAGATGAAAAAGTTACAGAGGAAGGCGAAGCAGGACACGGACTCGAAGGGAGACAAAGACTCATCCAAGGACAAGGACGAGAAACACAAAAGCGAGTCCTCTTCATCCGAACCCTCTGGTCACTATTTTGAAGGGTCTAACGATCCTTTTACCCCATCAGGGTCCCAACCCTTAAATCCAAACATGCCATATTCCCCCGAAGGTAGATACATACGTTTTCATACGTTTTCATATGCTTTCTACATACCCAACTAAATATGTACACACAAAGAAACTTAAAATTTTATGTGTTTTTTCAGCCGAGAGTTTCTGTAGTTCCGACATTTCTCTCGACGATTCCAACGGTCTGGAGCCCTTGGACGACTCTGGTCCAGAACTTCACAACCTGGAATCGCACCCTACAAGTCATCATCATCACGGGGGAGGTGGGCCATCGGGTGGTGGTGGTTCCGAAATCCTGCCTGCTTATAACCAAATAAATCCCATCGACAAGCTCTATCTTATGCAGAATTCTTATTTTACCGACACTTAAATTTATCTTTATCCTCATGTCGTCCACGAGCTTAAACTAGGGAGAACGTGAACCATTCCTCTCCAAAGAGAACTATATGTTGTATTCCTGTTTAGTCAGTCATGTCATGATAAGATAAAGCGAGGCTTAAGTAAGGAATAAACAAACATGTAGTGTGTGTGTGTGCTGCTGCTGCTATGAGATCAAGTGTAGAATCCGTCCATGCTTATTGAATGCAAGTTGGTGGATGCATGGAAGCTCAAAGAGGAGATTTCGATTCTGCTGTTGCTGTGGGGGTCCATTCGTTGGAGGAGAAATGAAAACAGCTGCTGAATAAATCCGAAATCCTGCTGACTTTCCATCCACCGGTTTCATCTAAACGAAATACGAGCATAATCCATAATCCCACGACTTTCCCTTTCTCTCACCAAGAGCACTTTCTCCCCACCTCTCAGCCACTGCTGTGCACCATCAGGCAGAGAGCTGCGAGGGAGGAATACGTTCCTATCGCCCTTGGCTTCCAATATCTACGTGCTCTGGCAGCCAAACAACTCATTCTCGACTTCATGAGATGAAATGAAACACACTCCCCTTTCTTATCCCTTCTGACTTGCCACCCACCCCCTTTCACTTTGGACAGGCTCCAAAGTGAAAGCATCCCGATTTGAATGCAAATAACAAATTAGGTTACAACAAATATATTTGCATTGTAATTTTCGTGTTTAAAAGGACGATACGACTTGGGAAATTAAAAACAATAAAACTTAGTGTAGTCTCGATTCTCGGTATATCTAATGTATACAGACCGAGCAAATTTTCGTCGTCTTTCATGGTTTGTAAAACCAGTGGGGGTCATTCTCTTGGGTTTGCTGACCATTATCTTACAAATGTGACATCTTCACTGTACTGTGTATCAATTTTCCCATTTATTCACCTTGCACAATTTTAACTTTTCCGACTGATTTGTAAAACCATTGTCTGCAAATGTTTTTCAATGATAATCTTTATAGGATTTTCACTTGCACCTGCATGCCAAATTTCAGGCTTCCACGATGATAAATAAATTTGGTGTTGTTTACCCTCACCAGCCACTTAAGTGATCCCAACCAGTCAACCTCTGGATCCTGCTCAAGTGCTCATCTTCGAACTCATCCAAGGCCTTATGGAAATTAAGCATTTTAGGACTAATTGTAACTATTTGTTACCCACAATTTGTAAGTTGCTCAAAATCGGTTCTCTAACCTAAGGCTGTCACAGAAGTACACAGAAACAGCCCTGATTATAAAACCACAAATATAAGAATCATTTTTCTCACATAAACAAGAAAATCTCATAGTCTCAAGTTTCCTATTTTTTTACTTTATGAAACACAAGTTTCAAAGTTAGGAAATTTAAATAATGAATGAACGAGAGGATAATTGCTTGTCGCCATTAAGTAGATAACCACCTTATGCAAGTACGGGAAGCGATCAGACAATAATTAGCAAAACAAGAAAAAGGAGTCATACATATATGTTATCTCTAGCAGTTTATTGTATTTTCAAAAATAAGTTAATGTTAAAGCAGAAAGAAAAGTACAAAATTCAAACGGCTCTCTAAATTCGAACCTAAATTATAAATCATTCATCATGATTTTATCACTGTCATCATCAAACTATTGTTTCGAATGGGCTGCTTCCTTTCTCGCGGCGTCCTGCAGCAACTGCGTGTCGACTTCATCTGCAGGTAACTGAACGTATCTAATGACAGACCCTCGGATAAAACAATTTTTCACAGATAGCTGCAAATTTGTGTTAAATTAAAATTAGCTAACTACAATAATAGTTTGTTTATTATAATTCAGTACAAATACAAATTAGTCAATTATACCAACCATGTGAGGATATTTTGCAGGATCGGTTACACTAATCTCCGTCATTTTCAGATTCAGATACTGGTCAACCGAGTGAAGTGTTCCACAAATTCTACAATAATTAAAATACAATGACCAATGAAAAATTGGCGTTTGTTCTGCCTAGTAATTTTCAAGCTTCTCTTTTGGTGTATTTATTATTTATTATGTACTTACGACAGGTCATTTTTCAACTCCACCACAACTTCTTTTCCGATGAGTGATTTAAAGAATGAGTAAAACAGCTAAAAATATTTATACTCCAATTAATAAAATTTGTCATGCTTTGCTTAAACGCAAAATGTTAAACATGATGACATGATATGTAATACTAATTGCATTTGTACATGATCCTTACCATTTTTAATTGTATCAATTAAAATTTTGTAAATTTCACCTGCTTCAAGTAGTAATAACTCTCACAAGAGAAAATTGATTTAATTTTTAATTAAAATTACTTGGTGGAATTTTAAGATTTCCTCATCGTTTGACGCCGGATTTGAATTTGGCTATTGGTCAGAGTCTCAAATTTCTTGCCGGTGACACAGCAAAACTCCACCAAAACCAAAACTCACAACAAATCTGCTTGGTAATAATAACTGCTGAATAAGTCAATCGACCTGAGCTAATCGGAAGCTGAAATTTTTGAAAAATATTTTTGAAAAAGTACAAGTGGATAAGGTGAGTTATGTGAGTTGTGGTTGTAGACTTATTTTTTACTATTATCTATTACGTCTAGCATTTCCTACATACATTACTCATTCATTGAAGATTTCACAATTTTTCACTTCATTAGATGGCCCTTTCGATGATGGAGTCTAACAATCGACTAATTTACAACGACGCTGGGCAAGGACCAGTGCAACATCAATTTTCACCGTACACTGACAATGGAGGGTAAGCTAACTTTTCATATTAGACTAGACACGATGCACGATGATATTGCAATTTTTTTATGAAGAATTATATTATTAATATTGCAAATTACAACTTGTCATGAACTATGATGTAATCATGAACTATTTTGTTTTTAGGAGCATTGTAGCAATTGGTGGGCCAGGATTTGCCATCATTGCATCCGATACCCGTCTCACATCCGGCTTCGCCATTTACACAAGGGAGCAAGGCAAATTGCACTCGCTTACGAACGCTGCTGTTCTTGGGGCTTCGGGATGTTGGTGTGACGTATTGAGTCTTACGCGACTTATTCAGGCTCGCATGAAGGTATTGCTCTGAAAATATACAGGTTTTCAATGAAATAGAGGTTGATTTGTATAATACAAATTGTATTTGGTTCTTCAAAAAGCTTTATAAGCACGAGCATCAAAAGGACATGAGTGCTGCAGCCTTGGCACAGATGTTGTCGACAATGTTGTACGGACGGAGATTCTTTCCGTACTATGTCTCCAATGTGATTGCTGGTTTGGATGAAGAAGGAAATGGCGTCGTTTACAGCTACGATCCTGTTGGACACTGCGACAAGAATATGTATCACGCTGGTGGATCTTCTGGAGCTTTGTTGCAACCCTTGTTGGACAGTCAGGTATGTGTGGTTTCATTAAAAGGAGTTGACTTGAGAATATAAAATGTGGATACATAATAAACGTATATCTCGAATATTCTAGATTGGGTTGAAAAACATGGCAATAAAGCCTACTGCACCGCTAACGGTGGAGAAAGCTCTTCAAATTACGAAGGACGTTTTTACATCCGCTGCTGAGCGTGACATTAAATGTGGAGATGGAGTAATTATTCGTATTATCACAAAGGATGGTATAAGGGAGGAAACATTCAAGCTGCGATTTGATTAAGCACATTTAATATGAAAATTAAAAATAGTATCAAAATTTTTGTCTTCTAAATGATGATGTGGCTGTTTTTACATTATTTAAAAAATAAATGAATTTTCATTAAAAGAAAAGGTCGAGCATGTTATTCATTTTTTACAAATTCTTATATTTATTAAATCATGAAATTGTTAGTGAAAAGTGATGCTGCTGCGATTACAGACCAAGTTTTCTATAATTTGAATATACTCAAAAAGTACGCTTCATTTATGTAATACCTTATTATTTAGGATTTGGAAATATATTCTTTAATTTTTTTGTTATGAGGCGCCCCCTGAGAATGCACGTGTTGACTGAAGACTTATTCGATTGATGTGTGTGATGGTAAAATTGATGGATGATATTTCTTATCGTGTTCACTATTATCAGCAGCAGTCGTGCATTACTTCTTCCCAGGGGGCAGTAATGGTTGGCCCTTGTCCTTACCGCGCAGCTTTAGGCCGATAACCTTTTCAATCTTTCCGAGCACACCTGTCATCAGTTCATCACGAGTCAGTGAAATCACAGCAAACAAGTGCAAACAAGCTAAAAGTTTTAATTTCACCTTGATTCGGAATACCACGACCGGCTAGAAAACCAGAATTTGTTAGCTTTAAGTAATTTTAACACGATCAATTAAATAAAGATTATATTATAGGAAAAACATTAATTATTAATACCTTCGTAGTCTCCAATGATTTGCGGTTTCTCACAGATTTTCTGAAGACGGAGTCATTATTTTTATCAGTACATGAACGCATCGCCTATTGAATTAGTGTTTTTTTTTTGTATATTTCACCAACCGTAGCCAAATCCTTTTGACTCAATCCTTTGGCTTGCCGACCTTGCATAATCAATTTTCCGACATCCAACGACACTGTGGCATGCTGTATCAGTTTGGATTAAAATACAAGTAAACGAAGGGTACATATGGTACAATGACATATAATAAGAGCAATCAAACCTTCAATTCCTCCGTTTCGCGATCCAATTTCGCCACATTCAACGTTGATGGTTGATGTTTGTTCTGAGCAGCCCCAAATTTTTGCTGCGTATCAATTTCTGCCCCTTGACGCCGAGCAGTATTCACAGCCTATGTTCAACATATTTACATAATTCTAGTACCTTAGTAAAATTAATATTCTAAAAACATTATTCTTTATACCTGCTCTGACTTCATGGCAGAAGACTTCATTGGTTTCTTCCGGAGAATAGTAACTTCAGTGTCCATGATTCTTAAGTCGAGAAGATCAAAACAAACTTGCCTGAAAAAACAGTCTTATGTCGTAAACAAAACCTAAAAATTGTAAGTCAATCAGATATCATCAAAGTTAAGAAAACGGTAATAACCTGTTCTCTTGGTTGAGCAAATCACCACTTAAACAGCCGAGACGGAGCTTTATGTCGAAATTTCACAAATTTCTTGCAGCAGTAATATTCGCAAACGTATTTATTTACGTTGTGTAGTTATGGGCCGTGCTGCTGGAGAGGAGAAAACAAAAGGCACAGTCAACAGTGGAATGCTCTCGAAGTTGCTGTGTTCAAGGTGCCCCGCAATTAGCATAATATTCGTATGCGAACATTGTGGTCTCATTCGTATGAGACCATAATGTCTTTGTCCTCAACGGTTATCCATGCATTATGCGAATGCAGGTGGATGTGCGAACCACTGGTCGCAAAATAAATATTACAACTTTTGGCATGGTATATATTTTGGTGCAGACTCTAATATTTAGCCAATAGACACTTTTGTTACACTCTTCAAATTTTAATTTCCATAAATAAATACATAAATAACGGGGGGAATTATTAAGTTTCAAGTACTGAGGGATGGTATTTTCGGTGGTAGTACTATGATCACTGGATCAGCATGGGACGCCTGATACCGGGAGTGAGGGGGGTAGGCAGCCCATGTAGGAAATCTATTTTATAAGCAAAGATTATGTTTAAAGTATTTAATCTAATCGAAAACTACACAATTAAAAAGTTATACCTGGAGGGTTGCCATCATTCCCGAAGCCAGCGTGGTCGCAACACTGGTCACTCTTATTACTGTGGTCTGTGTTAAGAAAGAATTGTTAAAGTCTCTTGCGGACGATATAGTTAACTATTATTAAGGTATAATGATAGGCTAAAAATAAATAAATCAACACTAACGACTGTGGTAGTCTTCCCGAACCCTGCACGGGCTTTTTCCTCCTCATCCGTTAAAACCAATTTGGGCGTGGTCTGCTCATCTTGGTCGTCGTGCGGATCGTCTAATACTGCAATTTCAGTAGTTTGGTCGGCTAAAGTGTCCTCATAAGTTTCCTCGTAGCGGACTGTTGTGGCATCATCATGCAAGTCGGGAGAGTCGCTGGAGGGATGGAGAATGACGGACTCAGATGGTTGCTCATGTTTTTGGAGATTTTCTATTTGCTCAATGGTAATATCTTGGGGGTAAATAATGGATTGGGAGGAAGACTGGTGGGCCACTAGGTACTCAGAAACTGCCAACGGGTCAGTAAGGGTAGTGCTGCCTATGATAAGAGCTATGGAGGCTGAAGGATCAATCCCCAGATTATTGGCCTCGTGATCCATGAAAATTTCGTTGTCGTACGGATATGATGTCATGTCCGCCTCTCGCTTCCTCCGTCCTACACATGGCGCCAAAGCCCCCACTGGCATCGTGCAAGTCCGAAAACTTGCGGTGGTAACGGTGCTCACTGGAAGAAAATGTAAACTTGACTCCCCACCCGCAATATCATGAAAGGACATTTCACACAAGAAAATTACCTGTGGAAATAATTGTACGAGTGAATGTGGCTTGACCAAAGATATTGCCAGCGTTGTTGTTATTTCCGGAACCCCCGTTGAGAAAGTTGAGACCAGGAAAAGCAAACGAGATTCCTGTCCCGAGTTGCTTCTTGTTTCTGAGATTGCCTTCAGTGACGACATGTGCGCATAACATACACACGACAGAAACTCTTGAAATAAATCTTGAATAGGTTTTCATGATAATAAATAAATTTTAGATCTAATAATTGGCTGAATTTGAACCTTTTCAGGTTCTATAAACTGCAGTGTCCAAATATTTTTTAAGACTGAGACTGAGACGATATGACATAAGCAGGAAACCCGTTAGTCTCACTCAATTCTTATTGGTGGCTAGATAGTGGTACATTTACATATGCATTATGCGTATATCTTTCGTGAATCTGACTTTGACTTTGATTGGACTATCTTACATCGACTTGATCAAAAGCAACCAGTTCTGATATTTCGTTTGATATTACTATATAACGGCGACTGTTTAACGTCGCTTTGCCATTTTGGTCATTGTGAGACGCTCATAAGTTTATTATTAAAACCACCATTGAAATTATATGTAACGTCGTCTGGATCCTGGATTAATAATTGTACGCAAAAGATTCAAAATGTTTACTTTTTTCTTGTAATGAAACCGTGCATAACTTGCGTTGATTGTATATTAATTCATTACGCTTATGCAATGTCAATGCCAACATTGAATTCCTTGCTGGCATACATCTCAAACGCATAAAGGGTAGTGAATCTTGATTTAGTTGAACAACCTGCTGAAGACGTTGACCTGCTTACAACCTAACAGTATATTTCCGTGCTTCATCTTTAATATCAATGACAGATTGCGATTTGGATTTAAGCTTATTGTGATTAGTGGTCATTCAAGAATATTGCGCTTTATTTTACACAAGTTTATTTCAAATCTTTCTTAACTTGCATTAAGAATATACATAATTATTATTTCAATACCTTTTTATGTCTGAGTGTAATACTGTCCTTTGGCCCATACAAGCTATTATTTGGAATGCAATTTTGATTAATATATTACTTGAACTACATTGTATTGCGTACAAAATGTATAGAGCACAAATATAACTTGTAACTTGTATAACTAGTGACATTTTAATCATATGTCAATACTAGCCATTATTATGAGAAAAACTATTTTACTTTCTTAGTAATAGAAGGCTGGGCTATTCCTTTTGTAAGTATGATGAAGTACCTAAACTAAAACTACTAATATGACATAATTTATTATGCATAATTTGAATCTCTTTGTAAATGAGCATATGATTTTTTAATAGTTTGCTTAAAATTTTTGAAAGGTATATACATATGCTCGCGACGCTCTGACTCGCATTAAACGTAACTTTTGAGTCGAGACTTATTCAGGAAAATTGTCAGTCGAGAAAAGTTGGCCGACAATTTCGTTAGTTCCTTCATTTCAATTCCCTTTTTCAACAACGACATGAGTTTGTCAGAAAATACATTTTCTTCGGGTATTAAGTGGACAAGATATCCATTCACACAAATCACTTCCGCACTGTGTTCATTGGGCATGGTGATCGTTTCATACCGGTAGCTGGCCTGTCGTTCAATCCTCTGAAAACCAATTTGAACAAAGATTTATTTGAAAATGTCATATAATTTATTAAATACATATATCCAAGTCGGCTCTAATGATAATCGTAAATCACCTTAATGACATCTTGAGAATCCTTACACCCTCCTACACAAATTATTCCAGGTGCAGCCATGTTGACGTAATCTCTCAGTCGCTTATCACCCGCTGATGATGGCACCTGCAATTTATTTTGTTAATCAACTAATATTTAATTGATCCGTAGCATTATGCATATCTAATATGCACTGACTATGACTACCTGAATAGGACTGCAAGGAAGTTCAGGAAAAGTATTTGCCAAAAAAAGAGCACCTTTAAAAGTGTAACATTTTACTTTAATCTGAAGTTTAAATTATAAAAATATTGTTGTAAATATAGAAAGAAATCTTACTTACCAGCTTCATTTGTAAACTTTGAGATTCCAACAAACAATTCTCTTCCTGAAATATTGATTTTACATTAAGTATATAATAATATCGTTGTATTATCCTCGTTTTCTTCACAGCATATTTAGTAATAATTTAGTAAGGATATGAACGGTCAAACGAGCGAGCAGCGAATGAAAACAAAAAATTGAGACAAAGAGAATCAAGGACATGTGCGTATATGTTCTATGCATAGCGTTGCTACATATTATATTTACACAGAACGGTGGTATATCTTATTCAACAATGACCATGTGCTCTGATAAATCAAGACATAACATGTTTAGAAAAGACGAGATATTTTTTACCTGTGAAAATAACGTCAGCGCCCTGAATATTTACTCCATCTTCTTTAATCTCAACAACAGGAACGTCCAGCTCTTTCTTTAAAACCGTTCGAATCATAGCAGCCATCTGAATTACATAAGGTAAGTTCTCAATCAATTTTTGTAGCATTCAGAAGTTTTCAACACATTAATAAATCTAGTTATCAGAAAAAACTTCCAATTACTTATAATTACGATAGTTTACCTCTTGTTCATAAGGTTTGGCTCTTGACATTATAGCCATTCCGTTGATGATGAAGCAAATATCTCCGACAAAAGGCGACTGATTAGCCTGTTCAGGTGGGGGTAGCTCAATAACGTCCTGTGAAATGGCATGCATACATTTACTTCGAATTGTCATTTTATGTATATATGACTTGACAAAACCTCCTCCTTACCACTCCTGCGTCCCTTAACACTGTGATGTATTCTTCAAACTCTGCTCTACATTTTCTCAAATCCACCTTCGAAGATAGGTCGTCAGGAAGTCTGCAGACTATTGCTTCTGTGTACCGGAAGGACATTCTTTTGATTATTCAGATTTCGTGGCTTCAGTTCTGTCAAGAAATAAAAATAATTTACTTTGGCAATATTCTGAAACAAATTGCACATGTTATTAGGAAGCAACAATAGAACTTTTACTTGTACAAAAAGGGAACAGAGTCTTCAATAAATAACTGACTGAAGCTGATTGCTGACATGACAAATGATCCAAAAATATAAGGACACATATATTATGAATGAACGCCTAAGATGTGGTGGCTGTTCGTATTAAGATTACTACACGTCAATAAGATTTCCAGTGAAATGTACTTGTACTTATGTACATGTAAATTTAGCTGGTTTCGGATGTCAACTTACTGGCATATTTTAAGACTTGCTATTACGAAACGATTCAAACATGTCGAAGCGTTTTATAATTGCTCTTCTCTGCTACATGGAGACAGCAAGAATATCATGCACAAGGGTTTCTTGTAGTGGTGCTGCTGCATATTTTCATGCAATTATGTATGTGGCATGAACTTTTTATTGCTATGTTGTCTTCTGCACTTCCACTTTACACTTCAATTTGCTTGTGCTAACCTAAATGAACTTGATTTGCATTCCAGCCACTTACATAACATGAGTTGCATCCGAGCATCCGAGTCTGTGTGCGAGGCTTTGTACATAAAATTAAGACAAACGGGGCGTCACTTTTCAGACTAATAAATTTAGAAATTAAACAAACAGTCTTCCATATATAACAATATTTGTATAACCGACGTCCAATATGTCACATTTGCGAAGCAAACAAGAAATTACACGATAATGTGTACAGCCTGACAAATTCTGCACATCCCAATATTTTAAGTAATCTCCGACGACACGAAATTCAAATGCAGGAATTTGACGACCAACTCTTCAAAGTTCAAACCAAGCCAAGTGGTTCGTTAATTGACGTTCTCCAATTTAGCTCATCCTGACAAGTACAAAGAGCTGTTCTGGCTTCATTTACTCGGCAGAAATAAATTAACACGTGCAATCTTTCCTTACTATTAGTTCAACAACTTCCGCAACCTGCAAACCATATCTGAATTTGTAGTATTCATGAGTATAATAGAGTGGCAAAGGTTTGTGCAGATGGCTTCTTCAATGATGATTAACGAATATCACCTTCTATATCACCTCCATGTCTGCAAAAGAGGCTCGACTTTAATTTCCTGTTTCTTACGAATTGCGAAACAGCAATAATACTAAATTCAGCTACAAAGCCACCTCGGTTTATTTCACCAAAGATCCAACTGAGCTTTCATTATGACCATGATTCCCATGTCATACTAAACAAGCGTCTCATGTCGGGCAGATGTTTACTCAAGAGATGAGAACAGAGACCCGATGATCAAAATGAGAATGAATCCAACTGTTTGTGAAAAGATTTTTCTGAAAGGGCTTCGTCCCGTGTAGGTATTGCTCTTGTAGGTATGTATTGCCATATATGTAGGTAGTAGGGGTACGTCCCCTTCTCATCAGTCTCATTCTATTTACCAAGAGCATTTAAATAAGAAGTTGTACTGGGAGAAAATACATCTCTCAATGAAAGCCTTTGTTGAGAAAAGTTTTTTTTGTATCATTTAATGTCGGTTCTTTCAACATGACGAGTCTGGCTGGAGCAAATTTAGATGGTGGGTGCGAAATAAGAAGTTCTTTATTTATAACGGAAACCACCACCCACCTTTTAAATCAAATATTAGGGCAAGCCTTGCTCCAATGTGGCAAGAGGTCAAGGGGTGGGAGGGGACAGAAATAGAAAAATTTGACAAAATCTCAAATGAATGAATGCTTAATTTGCTAGACACTCACCTTTTGGTATTATATTCCAATATTGCTGTCTCCAGTTCTGTAGATCCGTGGACCACGGACGGATAGTCGTATTTGTGTCGTGGGGCGGGGTGAAATATTTAGTGGACCAAAAATTTGACGACAGGAGAGACTTGAGGAGACGCCAAGAGCGTGTGGTGCAAGTGTGTGTTTGCGGCTGACTATCGATCCTCCTCTCTGACTAATATCGATCCTCAAGAGTTCACTTTCTACTTGTGTGCATATAACAGTGAGCGATCTTGCCGTGCCTGTCTGGAGGGAAGGAAAAGGGTGTCTTTTTCAATCTCTGCTGATACCCGGCTGGTTGTTTTGAGGGGTGCAGTCAGTACCAGGCACCTAGGCAAAATAACCGAGAAATCAGAGTGAAAAGCAGTCAAACAGAGAGAGAGAGAAGATTTCCGGATGAATCAGTTTGCCCCAAGTCCAACTAAATCGTTCTGATAAACGCACATGGATTTTTGTTTACTTGCGACGTACACGTCTGGTCTTGGTTTCACTCTCACTTGTTTGCTGATCCAGTGACCGGCTGATTCTGAGCTGATTGATAAAGGTTCTAGTTCTACCCTCAGCTTATCAGTTCACAGCCCTTCTAATAAGTAAGTTCGATATTATAATTATGTTATAACAACGTTGAGTTATTAAATTGTTGGTTGAGGAAATGTCTTGTCTCACTCAACTAATAATTACTAAAAAAAACTACTAGTTTTTAGTAGTTGAGTAATTATTACAATTAGTAGAGATTATGCTTATTTAAAAAATTGCAGATTTGATTAATTTGATCTAGTCCATCTTTATGACGTATTGCCAATTGTGTTTTTAGTTTAGAGTCTAAACTTTAGACCAAGCTGTCAGTGGTACTCGTTCATTGGGACTTTGGGACCTTATAGTCACAAGCTAAATATGTGTGGCCGAACTGCTTGGTATGTTTTTGAACTTTCATTGATCAAATATATTTTTTTCTTTAACACTGAATAATTATTTCATATGAAATGAATTTCGATGATGCATTTCAGCACATTAGCCCCTGACGTAATATGTCGAGCCTGTACCTATAAGAATGGGACGTCGGGTGAATATCAGCAACCCACCTGGCAAGATCACCCACCATCGTCTGACGGGACCACTCCCTACACGTACTATCCCTCTGCAAACATCGCCCCAACCAGATTTACTCCTGTCATGTACAAGACGTCGAACGCTTCTTCCAGCAATAATAATACACAACAAAACAATCAGGAGTCGAGCACAAACAAAATTGTGGTTCAACCAATGATGTTTGGTATGATTCCAGTGTACCATAAGGTCTGCACAAATTAATCAGTTACCAACTGCACAATGTTCATTAATTATATATGTGATGTCAATAGGGGGAAGCAAAATCGCATGGATTAAGTACAAATAATGCTCGTATCGAGGGCATACTGGACTCTAGACTGTACAAGCCAGTGCTAAACAAACGACAGTTATGTGTGATTGTTGCACAAGGATTTTATGAATGGAAAACGGTTGGCGCAACTTCGGGAGCCAAAAAACAGCCTTACCTTATTTTCGCTCACCAAGATGCAAATGTGAAAGTCGCTGATGCGACCAGCTGGACCAACGGCAAATGGAGTCCAGCGAAAGGATGGACAGGACCGAAAATCTTGAAAATGGCTGGACTATATGATGTGTGGACATCACCCAAAGTTAGTGTTTGGTTTATGCATTTAATCATGAATGAACCAATTACTAATCCTATACATCTTATAGGGAGATAAAGTATATAGCTACACCATTATAACAATGGCTTCAAATAAGACAATGTCATGGCTCCATGACAGAATGCCAGCAATTTTGGAAAGTAATGAACAAGTGATGGTATGCTAATATTTTGTATTTTATTTTTGTAAGTTGAGGTCCCATTTGACATCGTACTGTATATGCTGATTTTCAGGGATGGCTTAATGCGTCTCTGGAGATGGACACGAAGGAATTATTAAGTATCCTGAAACCTGCCACCGCACTTGAATGGTATATGGTAGACTCGAAAGTGGGCAACTCTCGGTGCAGGGATATGGATTGCATGGAACCTATTGACCCCAAAAAGTAAATCATACAAGGTTTAAAGATGCCATTCCAAATTACTCTGAATTAACACTTCGTTCAAATGATTCATATTAATAGAGGTTCCAAGGGGAGCAGCTTTATGGATAAATGGCTGAAGAAGCCAGACAAACGAAAGAAGGATGATGACGAATTTGCTACCCCAGCTCAGCAACCAAAATTGGAAAAATGAATGATCTTTAAACTAACAAACAACTGACGATTTACCTGGCTTTAATGAAATAATCACTTGTACAAATCACTTACAAATTAATCCATCATCCAAGTTTACGTTATAAATGAAACCAATAAAATTATACTTTTTTCGATTAATTACAGTTTATCTCGGTTGGTGAGTTGTTTACAAATTGATAGGTTCAGTTTCTCTTTGCAGCCATTTGAATCCTGGATCACTAGTCGAACTTCCTGTTGCTAGCATGTGTTCCCCGACAAGCTTGCGACATTTCATATGGAAATCGTTCAAGTATTCAATCTGCATATAGGAAATATATGATTATGTCAAGAAAACTACATAAAACAAGATCTCTTTGTACCTCAATAGTAGTCAGCATCTTTGTTTCAATCATTGCTTGGTGAATTGGAACAAATGTTACATCTTCAAATTTCAAATATCCACGATTGAAAAAGTTGTACTTGGTCTTTGCTTCCACCACGCGTATGATATTTTCTAGCCGAATACCGAATTGACCTAACAATGATTTATAATTATTAGCTTTTAGATTCATAAAAAAATTCTCATACTATCCAGGTCCTGATGTCTAACCTTCTTCATAATATCCGGGTTCGTTGGACAAGAACATGTTCTCACGTAAACCTGGGTCATCCACTGAATGCTTGAATGAAATGCTGCACGGACCTTCGTGAACGTTCAGATACGATCCAACACCATGACCTTAAATTATTTCATATTACCAAGTAAAACTACAATAATGCAAGCAAATATTGCTATACCGGTGCCATGCAAATAGTCCAATCCTTGCTGTGAAATTATATAATGAATTATATATACGATATAAGTATGAAGAAATCAAATAATGAATAAATAGGTCAGGACTTAGGAATATGTACCTGCCATAAATTCTGCCTCGCAAAGGAGTCCAAAAACTTTCCTAATATTTGGAACATATATTATAGATTCAGTGTATTTATCAATATGCAAAGTTTCACCTGTTGTCTTTTGTGGAAAGACTGATAATGCTAGAGCAATCTGACCCTTCAGAACCAACGTATAGCACTCTTTTTGATAAGCTGTTGGATTTCCGTGATGCACGGTGCGCGTGATATCTAGTTACATCAATATATATATAACTATATCACCAAAAGATATATATCAGTAATAAACCTGTTGTGCCATCCCTATTCAATTAAAAAAACAAAAATTATTTTGCTGCTTTGTTTGCTTAAGGAAATTAGTCAAAAACGTATCTTTTATTGTAAACTAACTTATATTGGCCTCCTGAGTCCACTAAATAGACATCATTCAGTGACAACTGTCTACTGACTGGTGCAGAATCTGGATTATAATGAATTATAGCACCATTTGGACCGCTTCCAGAAATAGTAGGGAAACTTAGGCCAATGAAATGTTTCTCTCGTCTACGTATTAATTATAGTGTATTGAGAACAATATTCAATATTACTGTTCCAAGAATAGAATGTTGACTTACGCTCGGAAAGATTCCAGCTTTGTTGCAGCAGATACTTCAGTGACTTCGGCTCCAGATTTAAGTGATTCTTCCAGCCACGCCAAAAAGTGGCACACAGCAGCTCCATCCCTAATGTGAGCATTTATCATTCCTTGCACTTCGATTGGGTTTTTCATAGCTTTCATAACAGATATCGGTGTCAGTTTAATCAATAGTCGATCCTTTGGCACAAGACTGGCAAGTGCATAATTGCATTTTTTATTCATCCACACTTTCCCTTGTGCCTGACATGCCTGCAAATATAAACAATTATGAAGTTACCAAAGTTAGCATTACATAACAGTCTAAAGTTTCTTAATTACATAGATATATACGTTCTCAAACAGGAACTCACCAATTCTTTAAGCTTATCAACTACGCATTCATATGAATGAAATTCGACATTGTTGTTAAGCTCGGACGTGATACTCGAACGAATTTCATTATTCACTTTACGAGGATCAATAAAGATATGCAACATCGAAGGAGAAACAATGACATAAACAAAGAACACCGGATTATAGGGGATGTCTGAGCCTCTCAAGTTTAAGAGCCCTGTAAAAAGACGCAAACCACAAAACACGTAATTTGGATAAAGTGCTACCGGAAATACTTAACAATGACTCCGATTCCGTATACGTACATGCCACTTCATCTAGCTCGGTAATCACGAGCAGATCTGAGCCTGAATCTGTCATTTCTTTCCTTATATCATCCAATTTGTCAATAGTTAATTTTCCAGAAAATTCGATTGGGTGGTGAACAACTTCATTAAGTGGCCGTGGGGGCCTCTCTTTCCAAATCAAATCCACCAAATTTTGAGCTACAGGAATCAAAGTTGTACCACTAAAGGACAATTCGGTTTCCATTGCATCCCACTCATCCTTCGAGTACAGTGCTGGGTCAACCCCAACTAAAGAACCCTTTTTTAAGGTTTTTGCAAGCCATTCTGCTGACGAAGGTGTTTCAGGTAGTCCTATGACATATGAGCAAATAAATTAAATGAACGAATGCATTAAAGTGATATTTTGTAGATCTATATTTTACGCTAAGACATTGTACCGTACCTTGCTTCATCAGCGTCCAATTCTTGTCAAGTTGTTCGGCAGCTTGCAGGTAATACCGTCCATCCGTGTATAAAACCGCTTGTGATTGAGTAATAACTGTAAATTATGCAAAATTCCCATATAAAATTGGAGTCACATTATGTAAGGAATTTTTTTAATGATCATAATACATATTTTTTACCTGCAGTTCCAGCAGAACTAGAGAGACACGGTTTTGAAAAATGAAAATATGGACATTACCCATTAAGGTGCTTTCATTTAGCTCTTACAATTAGCTTACCCATCAAATCCACTAATGAACGCTCTCCGATTATCACAGTCAGCAATGTATTCCGACTATACATACAACACAATCATACAATTACGATATTTTAAAATTAACATGTATAGATTTAATACCGAATGTGCATCTTGTGAAACAATAATGTAAGCTTCCAATGGCTCCTTCACGACATCCACATTCCTCATAAGACTACGTAACTGCTTCAGCAATTCCGTTGTGTTCTTGGCTGGCATTTTTATTTATTTTTTAGAAAATCTGGAAAAATGAGTATACCAAATATTATTCAAATTGCTTCAAGTTTAACAATTCGAACTTCAAGTGCGAGTCGCACTGGGCGACGCTGACTTTCGTCAAATGTGTGACAAATAAATCTTATCTGCATGGTTATCATACAAATGATTCAGATAAAAAATGGCTGTTATCTTAACTTAACTAACTCACGTATAAATGAAAATTTAGGGTTGATGACTTTTCAAACACTCACACAGTATTAATAAAGTCAATGTGCAAAAACTCACATAATACGGTTTAGCGAATTGATGCTTATTGATTATTCAGTAGATATTAGATTTATGCAATTTGTTTAATTCCAGAATTCTTTAACCTGGCTGAAAGTCGAGAGAACAGTGATTTTGGTCAGCCGGTAAATGACAGCGAGATGCATATGCAAAACAGGAGAAAGCTGAATATGCAACATGCAACGACGGCTAGATAGGATTCTACCTCACAGCTGCAGTGTGACCAATGGCGGACAAGTTTCCCCGGCTAAACGATGGCGGTTTACGAAATCAGAGACACAAAAACATGATTTTACTTGCTGTTGTTTACTCCCACGTTCCATGCTACTTTCACATTAAAGAGCATTAAGAGTATACGCTTCGACTCGATTGAAAATTTCAATTTGAAATGAAAAAGTTCTTGTTATTCTCTATTTTGCGTGGCCCCACCAATTGTAACGTAAGTTTTTTAGAGAGAAAGTCGACATCGCCATGGCGCATCCAGTGGCAAAGGAGTCACAACGCCATCAATTCAACTCCCCCACCAGGCGGAGGGAAGAAATTGAGCCAGGAGGAGTTGGAGGAGAGACAGAAACTACTTATGGCTAAAAACTTGCCGAAACGAAAACCAATTCCGGGGGTTAAGAAAGTGGTCCTGGTCGCTTCTGGAAAGGTCAGGAAGGAGAAAGTGTATACGGGTGAAAGTCAATGAAGTAGGGTTATCCGTAGCGCTGCGAAAGATGCAATTCAATATTTATACTTCATTTTGTAGGGGGGTGTGGGAAAGTCGACAGTGGCTGGTTTGTGCAGAATACGAATAATTAAAATAACAACGCCAATTGTTGTACTGATTGCATGCATTGTGTACAGTTAATTTAGCCGTTGCTTTGAAATTGTTGTACCCTACCAAAGATGTAAGTGGTTTAAACTTTACAAGTTGAAACATATTTATGTATATAAATTGTTCTTGTTGAATATGAGTTATACTTGGCTCGGTTTGAATAGATCTCTTTGCTGGATGCAGATGTGTTTGGTCCATCTCTACCAAGAATGATGAATTTGTCAGGAGAACCGTATCTTACTAAAGGTATGGGTTGGTAACTTTGTATCGATACCTTTCATTTCCGGTAAAATTAATTATCTCTTGATTTTATCAATCACAGATAATCGAATGATCCCACTGCAAAATCATGGAGTAAAATGGTTAGACTGAAATGAATAACTTCCAGAGAGAGGCTCTTTTATGTTAATACATTTTGTATGCGGCTTTGTAGCATGTCAATGGGATTTTTGGTCAAGGAATCCGCTCCCGTTGTTTGGAGAGGGTTGATGGTGATGTCAGCAATTGAAAAACTCGTCCGTGGCGTTGATTGGGGACCCTCGGATATCCTTATTGTTGATATGCCCCCAGGAACAGGAGATACACAACTATCTTTCGCTCAAACAGTAGAAGTTGATGGTACTTGTATTTATTTTCCACTGTCATATTTATTTATAGGGTCGGGTCAGGGCAAGATTATTTGACCTTATACCAATGGTTGCTTGACTGCTTTGACCAAAAGTCAATCAATCGTAGCCTTATACTCTAACGTTACCTGCGCGGGTCATGGCGTTATTATATTATTCGGTTTTTGTAGGTGCCGTAATTGTCACAACTTCCCAGCAAGTAGCAATGCAAGATGCAATTAAAGGAGTTGAAATGTTTAAAAAGACCAATATTCCCGTATTGGGTTATGTTTCCAATATGTCGGCATTTGTATGTCCTTCCTGTGGAACGAAAACTCCAATAAGTAGCAAAGCCAAATCCTTCTTCGCACAAACAGGGGTAGAAAAGTTGGGTGAAATTCCATTCAATATTGAAATTGGCGATTGCTCTGACGAAGGGAACCCTTTGGTCGTTTCACAACCTGACTCATCTAATGTAAGTTTGTTTGCTGATTATAATTACGTATCATTATTATTATCATTAACTTTCTAGTAATAAGTCTTAACAATTTCATGCACCTATCTATAGGCCGCTGAATTTCGAAGAGTAGCTGAACAAATTATCAAAAAGCTGGCCATTATTAAACAATAGGTTGGACTGCATGTTTTTAGGTTGAAGTGAAATAATCATAGTACATTTTTGTAAGAAAATGACAATAAAATAACGTTTTAATATTATATTTACATTATTACAATTCACCATCAATCAACAAGTTACCCAATTCAAACAAGTTTCTCATTAACGAATTAAACATTGATATAACATGATTTTCCTAATTTACAAAGTATAAAATGTACAAAACATTGCACAGCCACAGGGATATTGCAGACGATCACTTTCTGTTCATACATATGTTATATTGCCCAATTAAGTGGCGAAAGTACAGTATCCACCAATAATGTCTTTATTTGGTTCGTAGTCTGCTACATTCATCATTTGATAATGATGAATGCTAGTTTCGCTGTTACTGTTTCCGTGAATCACTTCTTGTAAAGCTAACTGATCAATGGAATCCAGCGTTAAGTATTCCTGAGTATTCTCTGAAGGAGAAATTTCATTCTGTTGTTGATTATCTTGTTCCTCGCGCATTACTTGATGTTGCTCTTCCTCTGAAAATTATCAGATAAATCAGGAAGTGCTCCACCAAATATATTCATTCATTCATGATACCTGCACAGTTGCTTTGTTCCAACTGATGAATTGAGTTTAACTCGCATTTATCTTTGTGCATGTCAAAATCATGCGTCATCGCTTCAGAAATCAACTGTCCACTCACTCGTTCTGTTTCAGTAATGTGAGACGACTCGTGTCGAATTGCTGAGTAGTCTAATTGTTGAGTCATTAGATATTCCTAGTAAAATTTACAAATTACAATGTAATACAAATGTAACAATTATAATTTCAGTTAGTTTACAGAATATTTCAATCCACTTACTGTGCCCATTGCATCAACTGATCTAACATGGTCTACATTTTCTTTATTGGCATCCTGATCATCAGTTTGAATTACAATTAATCCTCCTGGCATTAAATCGTCGAAAGAGAGGCCACTCGCGTCAGGAAATTGAAACTGACTGAGATCAATTGTATATTCAGTTCCTGGGAATCCATTGCTTTCATATTCAATGACTACTGTGATCATATAAATAGAAAGTCTCATTAATTACATTGTAGTATAATTATTTGTTTGTGTGTGAGCGACATTCACCTGGAGACACTTCCATAAATTCATCATTCGCAGTTCCACCCGTATCATTCCCACTCGGAAGCTGTACATGTTTCGGTGGTTGTGGGGGTGGTGGCGTACACAAGGAGTCAGACTCGTGGTTTTTATTAGGCCGAGTCGGTTTGCCCTCCATGTTGTTCTTGGCCAAATGATATTGTCCCAAAATATTTGCAACAGCTCTATCTGTATCATTTTCAATGCACATTGCCAAGTCCTCGTACTCAAAGTCCTTTTTACGCTGGAAATTTGGGTACAAAGAAAACCTGTATACAAGATAGATCCGTAAAACGGGCGGCTTAGGTGAAGCGAAGGGAAGTGTGGCTCTGTACCAACTTTAAACACCCAAATATATTTTTGACCTTAGTTACCCAATTAATTTTAAAATTATATGAAACCTCCCCCCCTCCCCCTGGAAAAATGGGGGAAGCAAATTTGGAAAAATTAATAAGTCAAAAGTGAATGAAAAATAAATAAGAACTAGACCCAAACTTGCTTTTTACCTTCGGATTACCTTATGAACACCAATATTTTGATGAATTCAAAGTTTCAAAATTCGAAAATTCGAGTTTTTTTTCAATACATAAATCTTATATACTACCTGACAACTAGCCGGATGCAACTTTTCAAAAGTCGTTCCTGTCGGTATTAGCGTATTTTGCACGAAATTTTGAATTATAAGTTGTGGTCAACATTATAGCCGAGGTGGATTAATCAGTGAGAGACTCCAAAACACTTCCAAAATTTTACTATTTTTAAACGAAGAGAGCGTAACTGGGTCAGTGCAAAGTTTTCTGCAAGAAAAACTGTCGACCACCACTTTTCTGGATCTATGACCCATTATACCATCTGCGCCACACTATTCTCCACCTCTATGAACAAGAATTGTGAAAGTAGAACTACCCCAAAAATTGTGAACGTCTTTTGAAATTTTTGAAACATTAATGGCAGTTTTACTTTTTTCGCAAAGTTGGTGGTACTGGGTGGCATCATATTTTCATTAAAAAATATGTTGATAAATTTACCACCAACGACTTTTTTCCAAAACATGCTATCACGCTTCAGTCCCAAGAAATTTGGGTAGTAAGGGTACTTGAGTACCTTGGTGAATTACTGGTACAGAGCCTTAAAATACTTGCAATAGCAACGAACCATAGCAATACCACCACGTGAGCAGTGGTACTTGCATTTATGAATATCGTGGCCATTTCTTATCCGATTTTGATTATCTCAAGGTTAATTGAAAGCTAAAAATATTTAGAAACTTTTTTTCGGAGTACATTTTTGATTTAGGTCCTCAATTTTTTCGTATAAAGCAATGTCACTTTTTGGAGGGTGTTTTTTGAGAATATCTCAGGAATGGGTAGGCTCACAACCGACCAGAGTTGGAATCCAAAAGTAGACCATCGTAATTAACTCTCGGCACTTATTTCATAAAAATCGGTTAAGAAATGGTAAAGTAATGTGGTTTTGTCACTTTTGAACGTTGTAGTAAATGCATACTTAGGTGTTTTTTAATCATTAGATCACCATAGCTTCACCTAAGAAAAAGACTGTTTAAAAGTAAAAGCGTTCATTGAATGAATTACCAGGGCAGGACGCAAAGCTCGACTTTCTTCTGAAATTGTCCAAAGATGACCTGCTCCGCTGCGGGCCTTTTCCCCTTTTATGAATGAATGAATAATGCAGGCCCATCAATTATAAACTAATGCTAATTTTGTGATTCATACATGTATCTTCTGTCAATGGTTTACGTATGTATGTGTTACCTTTTGAAAAATATGGGTTGATGCTGAGGTTGTGTCGAACCTGGTGTTTGTAAAAAGACTCGGTTAAAATTTGACAATCCGATATTAATAGTTGGACCGCCCTGGACATTCGACTGACGCCTCGTTAAGCAGAGGATTACACTATGCCGTTGATAATGTAGTAAATTTTGCTGAGGCCACTTACCGAGTTTTTCCATCGATCGTCATCAGGTTGAAAATAAGGAAAATGGTCCCTGGCCACATATGTACATTAGCTTATAATGTTTATAAAGGAGCTATTTAATAAACTTACGAAATCCACTGATAAATTTCAGATACAGTAAGCCCTCCATTTTCTGATAAGGCCTTCTCAATTAAATCCGTATACCTGCAAAAAACTGATTTGTGAATTACAGCTTAACATATCGCTAGTGCAACAACGCACGTGCAACGAGGTTTGCCAGTTTCGTCAAATGATATTTCCACAGACCCAAATTCGTTTCTTCTGGGGGGAGATGAGGAAATATGAAAAGTGTCAACTAAATCTACTTGTTCGAAGTTGGCGACATCATCAATCCCTCCGAGATCGACGGTAAAGGCCTCCTCTGGGTTCGACGGGTCAATCAGAATGTTGGCCTGAAAATCCTGTACAAGGCCCAACGTTGCTGTCGTTGGGGTTAACTCAGACTCCTCGGTATTATTCCCAGCGTCTGCCATTTGTTCGAGTCCGGCAACGCACTCGGCAAACCCTTCGTCCATTTTGGGGGCCTTTGGTGGGCGTGGTCCAGCTTTCGCCCGTCGTCGCCGTGTGGTTGTGGCAACAGACGTGGGCTCAAGGAATTTGTTTCTACTGAATACAGCGTCCACTTTGGAGTCTAGAACCCAGATTAAGTTTCCATTATCATCACTTGCACATTTCAGATTTTTTCTCCACATGAGTCACTAAAATTTTGATGCCAACGAAATATTTTGTTGGCATAATTTTTAAGATAAACAAGGCCATACTTATCTTGAGGTATCCCCTTGCTTATAAAGTCGAGATTCTCGACTATAAAAACTATCCATACACATATGGATTGATTTGATGGGTTTGCATATGAGAACAAAAACGGAGCATTTTTTTAAAAACCTACACAAACTGCTTAGAAAATTTGAAGTTAAATTGAAATTTCAAGACTAGGAAGCAAAATTTATGACTTTGTGAGAAAGTATTGCTGAGAAAGCGATAGTTTCTCACTTTCCCCCGATGAACATACAAAGGCTATTACGTAAACTAAATAAAATAACCCGTAAGAATGTATTATTACGATATATTATGCATGATTATAATGCATGCATACATAGTTTTAACGTCTTACGTTTTAGTTCCTGAACATGAACGTAGCACTGGAGGAATTTTTTGTAGTCGACGTGCTGAAGGGATGTAATTCGTCTCCCTTTCTTGATGGTTTTAGAAGAGTTAGAGATTGTGTCTGGCAGACAGCGACTTGATTTTGCCCCTTGCTCCTTGTGCTTCAAATTAAATTTCCTACTAATTACATCTAATACGTTGTTGTAATACGTTACGGTTTTCCACATGAACATGAATCAGTACCTTCAAATCTTGAGCGGACGGGACTTTGACTCGAAAGAAGGTGCGGTCAGTGTCTGACGGGGTGAATCTTTTACTGATTGAACCTTGACTTTTTTTCGACCTCTTTGTCGAATCCTTATTCCACACGACTAGCTTCACACCTTGGCCTTCTCCTCCTCCTCCCCTTCTTTCTCCTTCCACTCGACCACTCCTGTCTCCTCCCCAGCAACTGAGCGTCTGAACTGGCACGCCCACTGGAACACAAGCATCACTTTCCGTTCATTCAAGTTGCAAAATTCTGAGGAAGTAATACTGTCAGTACTAGACCGTCATGATTTCATCGGAAATTATGTAAATAAAACGACTTAGACCTGTCATGGGGCAATGTGAGAGGGTTAACAAAGTCATATTTTCTAATAAATCCCAATTCGTAATTTTTACTTTCACACATCATAACGATGAAAATCAAGTGTATGTATATTTAATCATGTGTATGCATATATGCTCATCATGGACATGGACCTAATAAATAGTCATTCACAAGGCTGTGATGTGTGATACAGACTGTTGTGACTGGATGATTTTTTATTGACTTAATTTACCAATTGACACTGAGCTTTATTTACTGGGCACCAACATAGCGAATAATAACCCCCGCCACCATGCTCCTAAGTTTAAGGTCATAATGCAGATCTAGGTTCCACTGAACTTATCGACAAATCAGTGTCTTAAGAAAGTTAAGGATCTCATAAAGGAGGCAATATCGCCAAACTACTTTCTGCCTCCATTGAATATATTCGGAAGGATACAGCTTGCTCTTACATATTGGTCACAGGCAGATTATATCAATAAATCCATACACATAGTCTTGTCAAAAAGAAATGTAAATAACTTACAGCTCTCCAATCTCCAATAATGAGACGAATAAGGAACCTGCTAAATATCCAGCAGAGAGAGAACGTGACGTACGGATGAATGTGGATACAAGGTTTTAACGATATTGAATTTAAAAACATTAAAATTTCGCTTTCACTTTCCTGAAACGAAGTTCTCCGGTGACAACAATTTCTTTCCTAACACCAGAAAGATACTGATTTGGGCAAGGTGAATATTGGGGAGAAAGTTGGAATTAGTTTTCGAAAGCATATATCCAAGTTGAGATTTGGCTATACAAATATGATTTCAGCAGGAAGTTGAACACATGCAGCATTCTACATACATTCAGTATTCTTTGACTAGGGTACAATGACTGGGATATCGCAGAAGGAGTTGACGTTCGTTCGACATATCTTCCTCCAAGGCTAAACAATGGCTGGCTGTCCCACCACGAACTACCAAATGGAGTACCTGCAGACTTGGATGGGCAGCATTATGGGGCAACGGACGGAACGGGGGGATGGGGAAAGTATGTGTTCTTCGAAGGAGACTTTTCGATCTTCTTTTTGTACCTGCCCGTACCAATCTCAGTAAATTGCTCCTCCTGCTGCTGACTTTCTCATTCATCGCTCCTCATGTCTTCTAGGCCAAGTGAGTGTTGATAACATTATGACATGCTAACAAAACTACCAGCCAAACCAACGCAAGTAAATCGTTCCGCTGCACAATGAGTTATGTATATATTTCCTACTCTGCGGCCGTTAGATACATGCATATTCATGAGAGCAAGCAGGATTGGTTCTGTCATTTGTTCTTTACATGTAAGCCCAAAAAAGGGACGAGTATTATTTGATGATAAAACCAAGTCAAGAATCAAGACATCGAATCCAAGACCATACGTACATAGTAATTGCTATTAGGCTGCTATATATACATACATAGTCGTCTCACAAAGTCTGACAGAGCACCCTTTCTGACACCATGCTGAGGAAAACTCCCACAAGCTAGATACATTAGCTGCAGGAACTCAACGCTTCTTTCTGGCTGACCAAAGCGAAAAAAAGTTTTCCCCTTTTTGATTTCACTCCAACTACATTTATCAGCTTCTGCCTAATTTGTCATGTACACATTTCAGTGAACGAAGGATGATGGGTAGTTCGGGTGGTACTGCCACACACGGGCAGCTTTCACCACCCCAACACTATTGCTCCCTTGGTTTGCACCCTTCCAAATACCCTCTACCCTTCTAACTGGATATGTATTCCACCTCTTTTACCACCCATGCATGGAACTAGACTAAATCTACGGAATTAAACTACTCGTAAAAATATTCGTCCCTGTCAGGTCACCCTCAGGCGAGCGTACACTCTGGCCAAGCTTCAGATGTATATAAAACTTGGGCTTAATTTAATTTAAATTGCTTATCATAAAAAACTTTAAACTTACCACATTTAGAGGCGTTTGCAAAGTCGTCTTCGTTCAATAATTCTGTTCGGCTTGTGCAAGGAAAATTTTCGGGGTAGTCATCCTGCACATCTCTTTCTATAACAGCAGCAGGTGTATTGACGACTGATGAATGACGTTCATGCGATTTTTCAGTGATTTCGACATTACATTTATTGGTAGCATGGCTTTCAGACACCCTCAGCATGTTTATGATTCCACCAGCCTAAAAATTTTTGCCCAGTTAATTTTTCAGTTTTCCATGTGTTCAAAAACCATGTTTTTTGTAACTTACCTCCAATGGCGTTCTTTTTTCATCGTCTGACGTGTAGTCAGATCCAATTCCAGCATCGGTTGGAAATTCCATGGCTTTACTCCACGTACGTTTGTAAATTAACCGAATTGAACTTTAGAGAACTGTGTGACAATTATTTTTTTCAGGTTCAAATCAAAATACGCCAACAAATTGATTTTGCGATTCCGTCCTCCGTTATCAACGTCGCCCAGACAACCCTTCATTTTGACATGTGAATGTTTTGGAAGTACAACATGTAAGGGTAACTATGCGAGTTCGATTTGGTAGTGGTTTGAAGTACAATTCGTAATGCTGAATTGACGTATGCTGTAATTGTATTACAAATGCTGAATGAATGAATGGATGGATGAATGAAATTAGTGTTAGCGTTTGGTCGAAAATGTGTCTTTATTTCATATTTTTATTCGAATCATCAGAGTTACCCCTCAGCTGTATGTATTTATGACATAATATAACAATATTCCTTAATTAAATACCATACCGCTGAGCGCTTCTCTAAACACTGAAAATCAGTTACAAGATTATAATGAGAACTACAAATGGTGTAAAACAGCATTAGATCTCGCTCGACTCGAGAATGTGTGAGACCCATTGACAGCCATATCATCCGTGTGGAGAGAAGAGAGAGAGATAAAGTTGCGTCAGGGAACTACAGATTTTGGAAAAATCGGCATTATTGACAATGCCCTACGATACTGCTTGCTATTTATCAAGTTGCACATTTACAAGTCTTATATACGAGTCATCTTAATCGTAAAACGCAAAATTACATGTAATTCACAAATAATAAGTAAGACGAACAATAATTATGTTGTTGGAAATAGACGGAGAAACGAGAGTTGGACTGGAACAATAATTCTATGTGTCCTTAATTCATTGGTATACGTAGTGAGTGCCCAAAGTGAGAAATAACATATTTTTCAGTAGTTCAATGGAGGAAATAATGTTTTAGGCTTATTGACTGCTCATGTACACACAAAAAGCACTTCATTGTTACCTTATTAACATTGTAGACAAAAAATCTTGTGGGGATTTGGAGGGGGGATGGAGATGATGTATGGAAGGAGGGGAATATTAAAATTGCTGGTGAACATTAGATTTCTTTATGGGTCACCCAATGTCATTCATTAGACTCCTAATCTAGCAACTATCAGTCAGTTCACTTTTCACTAGATGTTATTATTGGGCTTTTGTTAGCAGGGGCAATTGTGAGATTATGATTTTTTAATGTGACATTGTTGTCTGCTCCATTCGTATGATCAGGAGTAGTAGTATCCTCCACCATCAATCTTGAGCTTGATATAACTTTAGAGGGATCAGTCGGTGTGCTTCCAATTGATCTGTTACGACTCTCCGTCATAAACTTATCCAATAATCCTTCTTCACTAACCGAGCCAGGTTGGTTGATACTGCTCATGTGTTTGTTTAAATTTTCACTGGGTTTTGCAATTCCTCCTCCAACCATTCTCATTCCTCCTGGAGCTACTGACCCAGTTGAGGGGGAGGGGGTTGAAATTGGTCTTTGGATAGGTCCAGGTGCTGCAAATCGTCCGCCCTTCTGTGTGTAGAAGAAGTGTACGACTGTAAACCATCACGTCAATATTTTTATTTCCGTCTAACTACGCTAAATTTAAGGGTTGTTACCTGCTGCTGGTTGGAGTAACCGCCGGCCGGCATATACTTATTGACATTTCCTCCCATATTCCCCATGCTGCCCATTTGCTGGTGACCCCCTTTTCTTGGGTTGCCAATGTTGCCAGGATTATTTCGATCCGGATTTCCTGCAGGTTTATTTCCACCTCCATGAAATCCTTGATTCAGTGGAAAGCCTTGAGCATTCCAAGTGGGATTCATCATAGGCTCATGAGACTTTAATCCGTGGGATTGTTGAACCATGTCATGTTTCATGTTGTAATGAGAATGAGTAGTGGGACCGGGTCGAATGAGCTGACCACCAAGATTAAGGGCAGATACCGTTGAGGCAGCCTGTGATTATTAAAACAAGTGTAAATTATTCACTGCCTGCCTCTCATTCTCTTTTATTTCAGTTACTATCATTTTTTCTATATATACGTCAACTTTATTATTTCTCGCGTACCTGCTGACTATATCCTTGAAGTTGGTTAAATCCTGTTATCTGGAATTGCTGTTGTCCATATTGTTGTATCGACTGAGTGGCAGTTTGGAGGTTTTGCAATGCTTGGGGATTAGGGGCAACAGCAACATGCAATTGTTGTAAACCGCTTCCTTGGTTTGATCCAGGAAAAACTGCATTGCTTGCATTCCCAGAATAATAATTAGAGGATCCTTGCATTCCTTGAACTGGGGGAGTAGCAGAAGGGGGTGGTGCGTTCCTCATTCCTGAGGACACATAACTTTGTCCACCAAAATTCAAAACTTGTTGGGAAGGATCGTATGGGATGTAAATCTGTAAAGTTTAATTTGAAATATATAGATTGATAAAAATATATTAATCACTATAATTAAGAACAGAAAACTGCAGTAACTCGAAATACCTGTGACTGAGTCGTGATTCCACTTTGAGTGTAACCTGGAACCGTTGGTGGTTTGGAGGGGACAACAGGGGGCAACTGGTGATGAGGCGGCATGCCTCCAGAATGATGATGACTCATTTGAGAGTATCCTTGCTGACTCGACATCACCTGATGAGACATTGGATGAGCTCCACTGCTCTGAGACTTCATGACACCCGAGTTGTTTCCACCAGAAGAAGGCATCGGACCAGGGGAACGATTGCTAGGAGTGGGTCCTTGACCGGATTGGGAATGCTGTTGTTGATGATGTGAATGTTGTTGTTGTTGTTGCTGCTGCTGCTGCTGGTAAGAGGACATTTGCTGCTGATATCCTCCACCAGTGTCCATGGACGTCATAAACATGGAAGCGTTCAATCCATAAGGAGCAGTACCAGTTCCTTGGGGATTTGAATACTGACCATATTGACTACGAGCACTGTTGTTCATGACCTGAGAGGAGTCCACGTGAGGAAAGGCTTGATACACTCCGGTGTGGCCACCCAAACCTTGCGAGTTTCCATACACCATTGCAGTAGGAGGGCTGGGAATGGCGGAATGCCCGCCGAATGGTGCTCCTTGATGCTGTGGCATGGCATAAGCAAATGGGGAGGACGACATTCCGACGTGATTTTCAAGGTTGCTTTGTTGTTGGGGAGGTTTCACCTATGTTTGAAAATTACGAGATTGATAAGTATGACTAGAAAGTAATGTAATTATTATTATACAAACGAACTAGATTTGTTTGAAAACGAGCGAGTTTTCATCGGCATTTAAAATCCGAAAAAACTGTTTGGTCTTCCTTTTTTATAGCACAGGAAATTCAAACCGCATACTTATTAAAAACAATATGAAGATGAATTTTGGGATTGTGCAGTTTATGAAATAACCCAAAGTATTATAGATTCGTACCTGGCGATGAGCATTTGAATTTGGACTGGTACTGGAATCTGGTTTGGATATCGCCGACATCGCAGGAGAACTACCGGGTGCATAACTAGACTGAGGTTGTTGCAATGAAGAGCTGTCATAAATATATAGTAATAAGTAATTAGTACACTACACACGGGTAGTTATCACTTTGCCTTAATCAACCAACCAAAGAAAATGAACATACCCATAGTCTCTGGAAACGTCAGTTTTAAATGCATCCGAAACTGTATATCCAGAGTGGAAATTATTGGAATCTTCTGAAGTCGAAGTACCGCCTACCTCTGCTACGGAGGACATTGATGGTTTGTCCCATACTTGTCTCACGGCTTGAATCTTTTCTGTCAAATCTTTAGCTAGGTTGAAAAGACAAATTTAGATTAGGCTAGATATGACCTCCATATACTTTCAGACGGAAATGTTCTAATTACATGGAACATGTAATGCGACAATAAATTAGTTTTAACCTAAACCTCACCTAGCGGACTAACAGGAGACGGCTGATGCCCTTGGAAGTTTCGATTAGGTCCAATAGGATTCGGCTTGGTTGTTGGGTAGGATGTCATGGATTGAGAAGTCTGTGAATCTGTGCGGTCATCAAAACTGGATACAAAATCCATTTCGCGGTTATCATTTCCCCCAGAATCCTGCAAGACAAATGCACATTAAATTAATAGCTATATTAAAACAATTACTTGTCTTTACAAATCTTTTAGATTATAATAAATCTCACCTTTCCAAAACTTAAACCAATGTCTTTGGTCAACTCTAGTCCTGAGGTCATACTTGAATCTTTAGTCTCAGTGCTTTTTCCAGAACCCGCTGGCTTTGAAACATTTTTAAAATTTCTGTTCTCAAAAATCATGGTCTTTAGCGGCCCTCCCGACCCGTCAATGATCATCGAAGCAGGATTAATTATTGATGTTGTTGTCTGAGCCTTCATATGGTTCACATCTGACGATGTCGACAGTGATGATTCAGCTTTGGATTCTGTCAGAGATGACGTGGGATGAGACATTTGTTGAGGGCCCTGATGATCGGTTTTCAATGCCCCTGGGGTTTTCTCCCATGTATTTGAAGACTCATTTGTTTCTAAAATAACAGCAAACAATAATGTTGTTAGATTAATGGTAACAATTGCACTGTGATAAAAATTGAGTCCAATTTGGTTAGTACCTTTTTGGAAGCGTGGAGCTACAGATGAACGCAAATGAGCTTCATAAGGTGGATGTTTAACGCGTCTATCCTTGTTTGCTACTTGAGGCTGTTTTTCGTTGCGTCCCCCCGTCAATCTATTATTAGAGTTTACGTTCACCTTTTCCTTAGAAGATCCCTTTTTAGGCTGGCCATCACTATCGACGTTTTCAGAGTTGTCGGAGGCACTCCCGGTACCCATTTCATTACCACAGTGAAATACATCTCCATCCATACTACCAGATTTTGTAACTTTTCCCTTGTTGCTGTTGTTGTTATTTGACGAATCTTGGTTGGATGTTGTCGTTTCTGTGGCTGATTTTTCTTTTGCAGAATTTCTATGTTCATTTTGGTTCGGTCGACTCTTTTCATGACCCCTAGTACTGTAAAGTAACGACGAGAACGTGTGTAAAGGACATACAAAATTGGAAAGAGATTTATTATAGAAAAATATTGCATTGTTACTATATATATATATACATTTTCTATTACAATGCTTCAGATCTTACCTCTCTTTTTTACGGAAATTCTTTTTGCCTTCATCATCCTGACTGTCTGGTTCCGTGTCTCCTTCATGTTTGTCCAATTCATTAGAGTTTAAACTCATCAAAGGTTTTGCGTCTCCGCGTTCTCTTCCACGTTTGCTTCCACCTCTATTGGATGGATAACTTTCTTGCCGGTCCTGCTGCGGCTGCTGTTGTTGTCTTGGCTGAACACCTGGTCCTCCTTTTCCTCGCGCATGATGACGTCCGCCACGTCCACCAGCCATCATACTTGGTGGTGATATATCTCCAAGTTCCATTAAGGGCACAGGTCCGGAGGATGCAGACGGGGTGGTTTTATTAGTTGATTCTAATGGTTTCTCTTTGCCAGGTTCTTCTTCCTGCTAATAATTAAAGTTTGGAATAATAGTTTATCAATCCCATTTCAAATCTTTCTCGAAGTTGTCATTTAATAGTTGATTAAATGATAGTTAAGTTAAATTAACCTTGTTGACGTTTCCAGAAGTGAATGGTTTATCGGACGGAGGACCATAACCATGAAGTCGTCCACCCCCACGTGGGTTTCGCTTATTTGTAACAGGAGATTTCACACCACTACTTTTCTTTACATTGTCCCCAGCTCCAAAATCTTTCCTTGATTTATCTTCATCGCACGAATGTTTTATTTCTTCGTAAGAAATTTCAGAGTCTTTGTCTGTAGGTTTCTCTGCTTCTCTGTCAATCTCCTGCTCTTCTTTAGGAATTCGGTCGTCACGCTCATAATCGTTTCGAGGAGGAGGCCTAGTAGTACGGTCATCATAATAGTCCCGACTTCCACTACTACCCCCACGAGATGGTTTACCACGATTGTCGTTGGGCCTTCCGCTTACCCATCCGCCTCTATAATTAATAGAATTAGACATAAAGAATTTTCTTCATTAATTTGTAATTGACAAGAATTATATATTTTGCATCCACAATAAAAATTCAGAAACATATTCTACTTGAGTAATTATTAATACATGATATTTAAAAACTATGAAAAACGTACCTTGGTTGATATACACCATGTCCTGTACGTTCTCTAGGCCTGTTGACCTTGGAATTACCACGAGAATCATTATCTTCTCCCCCATGAGCATTTTTGTTACGTTTATCAAAACCAGCAGCAGACTTATCAAAATCCTTCTGCTTCCCATAATCATCTCTATTTCCTTTCCCTTTGTCTGGAGGAGAACTCTCCTTGATCATTTCGGAGCTTCGACTCTTTTCAATGTCATGACCACCTCGAACTCTGTCTCCTTCACTGCCAACTTGTTTCATGGAAGAGTTGCTGCCAGAGTTTTCAGAGGTAGTACTAGTACGACCGCCTTGTTGTGCATTAGTGTCTCTTTCAGGAGTTCGGTTATCGTTTCTAAACTCGTTTCCCCATCTGGTTGGTCGAGGGCGCTCCGTGGTGGTTTGATTCCAAGTTTTGTCACGATCCTGTCGAGATCCCACCTCTGGGCCATCATATCTTTCGCGACCTCCTCCCTTTTCGTAGTCACAGGCGAGTTCCTTCTCTTGGCTCTTTTTCTTATTATCGGGGATTTCTCTGGTTTCATTCTGATTGTGGTGCAGTTGTCTTGCCTTGTCCGAAAGAATAATCTCTCGTTCCACTGGAATAGAACGGTTTCGAGAATTTTCGTCCGAAGTATCATCTTTGCCATCAGATTTTGTGCTTCTAGTGTCATCACCCCATACGGCAGATGACCTGTTCTGCTCCAAACCAGACTTGTCTTGTTTCACGGCTGGTTCTGCCACCGTTGATTTTGATGATTCTGGCTGGACTTCAACCTGAATCATAAGAACAACGTTCAGTTAGTGTGGAGCTTTACTACTACATAAATCAATATTAACAAATGTATACCTTAACGGTAGTCATATTTTCAACCTTTGTTTGTTGGATGTAAACCCTTTTCGGAACCGAACGTTCTTCTTTCACTTCTGATTTCGCAGGCGGCATGTTGAGTCCTTTCTCATCATAATCTTCATCGTCAACTTGGTCAGCCCAAGAGGATGTAGAAAACTTAGTCGTCCTTCCAAAACCAGATGACTTATCCTCTTTGTAACCACCACGAAGATCCAGACCTTCTACTTTTTCTTTTCGAGATTCTATGGACTGCTGATCCTTGTCACCACGTTTCGAGTCTGAGGAGCCACGGACACTGCTTTCTTTGTCGGATGGTCTGAACACATACACATAATTTTGTAACTTATAAAGTCCTTTAATTATCATCACTCAAAACTACTCACAAATAGATAAGATAAATAAGACGAGTCAAATTTTACCGTGGGTTATTATAATCGCTGGTTCGCTTCTCACGAATACTGTTACTGCTTGATTCACTGTCTCCTCTATTCCTCCCAAGAATTCTGTACTGTGTGGTCCCCGTAGTTCGCAAGTCGCGATCCGTGCCTATGAGTTAAATAATCAACAAAGAAAGAAAGAAAAAGTTACTCTTATTGTTTCAATTCAAAGTCTACTAGGATTAATATAACACATTTATAATACAATTGCTGTCAGAAACAGTGGGTGGTTCAAAGTCGTCATAGACAATCTCTGCTCAAAACTTCATCATGTGTATATACAAGATTTGCGAACACCAAATAACCGAGTTTATACATACCAACATATGTACGCACAAGATTATTGTACAAATTTGCGAAAGTCAAGTAAACAATGAGGCGTTCAAAACCCAAGGAATGAGAATCAAAATAATTGAAAAGATTAGGACAAACCTGATGAGGGAGGGCTGGGACTTCGTCGAGACGAGCTCGAATAGGCTTGATTACTATGTTGATGTTGCTGTTGTCGCAATAACCGGGGTGGCAAGTTACTAAACTGTTTTGCACCGTACTCAGCACCCCGTTGATCAGGACGAGATGTAGGGCCTTTTTTGTTGCGAGGGTCCTCTTCAAATCGACTTCTGTGGCATCGAAAAAATTGATAGTTAAACAAGCAGTTTAAACATTTTAGCTGCTAGTTAACGCTATGTAGGTACGAACACCTGCTAACAGAACTTGTGTCTTACCCTCGCCAATCCTCTTCACGAGAATCTCTCCCCCTTCGTCCGGAAGTAGTGCTTCTCTCCTTCGAATCATATTGTTGTGGAGCATTATTTCTGTCCTTGTTCCATTCTTCTTCACGGTCCAGTAAGTCAGCCTTTCCTTGGTCCTTTGAGACATTATCATATCGATCTTCTCCTCGTCGATCGATGTGTTCTCTTTCTCGCTCATTATTAGAACTTGGCTGCCTTTCTAAAATTCTGATTTGTTTCTTGTCTCTGGAGTCTCGACTTGGTCTAGTTTCACCACCACTACTATCATTTCTTTCTGCAGATTTACGAGAACCATCTCGTCTTTCTCCTTCTTCTTCGTCACTAAAACTAATTTTCTTGTTGTAGTCTACTTCATCTTTGACTGATGACCAGGTTCCTTCTTGATCAATGTCATCCATTCTCTTCATATCTTCTTCTCTAATAATTGGCTTTACAGCAAATTGCTGAGTAGGGCGCATTGGAGGGGGAGGGCCTCGTCCCCGATTATTCGGTTCTCTACTATGACTATCAGAATGTTCTCGTGGTGGTGGGGCCCCCGGAGGAACCTGCATGCCATATCGAGGCATTCCTTGTCCAGACTGAGGATAATAGCCAGGACTAGGACCAGGCCCGTTTGGGTACATCTGATGATATCAAAACAAATTTATAACAAGTCAATGGCAAAAAATATACGACCAATTCATCGTAGACATTTTATTTCAGTGATAACTCTACAATGTTGTATGCTTACAAATGGTGGTACCATTCCACGAAACTGATAACCTCCTAATGGTGGAGGAGCGGGGCCTCCCTGGCCTATTATAATTTTAATAAGAAAGGAATAATGTTATTGCAAAGTGCAAAAAACAAAAGAACAAGATGGCAAAAATAAGTTGATGTTTGTATTATTTATACCCAGAGACATTGGTGGTGGTGTTGGGCCCCCCAAGTTGGGACGTTCGGGTTCTCTCATTGGAGCATTTTGTGAATGTGGGCCAGGGGGTCTCGGTCTTGGATCTCTTCCACCCCCCTGGGTCCAACTCCCTTCGGCTGCAATAATTATTACACATAAATAATGTAGTGAAATACTATACTTGTATAGTACAAGAAATGAACTTACTCTGTGGCCTTAATATAGGTCCCGGTCCTGAAAACGAATAGCATTGAATGAAAAACTTGATATACATATACGGACACACAGACATACCGGTTCCATAAGCCCTGACTCGAGTTAAGAAATGCATTTATTTATACTTGGTTCATCCTTACCGTACTGATTGTCGTGGGACTTGGAAGAATTCTGGGGACCAGAGATATTTGGTGGAGGTTGCGAGGGATTCATTATTGAACCTCTCGGTGGATCTGAACCAGCTTCCAAGCTGGGGAAGTCCTTGGAATCTGTGATTGGTACAAGTTAATCAAACAAGTTATCTTGAGTTAAATGATTCATTAACTAAGGAATTACTTTCTTTTACTACGGGTTGGATTTTATGAAAGGCACACATTGTATGTCTCTATTATGTTTGTCACGGGCGTTTTTTGTACCAAACGGCAGGTTGCAAATCTTGCAGATAAATCCATTGGAATGCAAAAGGACGTGTGAATCATATTTCTCTTTGTGGTTACTGGTAAATGCACATAATTCGCATTGAAATGCTTTGACTCCAGGATGTATTCTTAGTATGTGTACATTTAACGTATGTAATGCATTGAAATAGGTATTGCAAAGAATGCAGTGAAAGTTAGTGATTGTACGTATATTTTTTGGAGTAGGGGCTAAGGCTTTTCCGGTTAAGTTTTTAATGACTTTCTGCGCCCCTATTTTATCACAGCGGAATCCAAAGAAATTATGTACACGAATGTCCAATTCACCAAAAACTGATTTTAATTGTTTATTAATCACAATCTCAAAACAATCTTGTCCTGCTATGCTATTCAGAGCAATCTTAACCCTAGCAGTACTCCCCCATTGTTGGAGATGATGAGAATCGTTAATGTTGTTGCTTTCTTCAGCTAATGTTAATTTTATTTGTTTGTCTTTTTCTATTAGTTTATTATGTTCCGTGTCATATTCGGCAAGGACATGACGGGTAAGCAAATAACAATACGCTTCGGCTGCGTTTTTTGCACTGAAAAATTTACTGTCAGCCCTCTCCTCAAACCACACTTGAAACCATAACACAAATTTGTGCACCTTTTTGGAAGGCGGAACTTTTAGGTACGTATATACGTTGTCTTCTCCTTCCACTTTCTTATATGTTGGACAAACTGCCCACTTATTTGTCACCGTATGGACCCTTAAACCCGGGTTATTTATGTCTGTGACATCCAACCAGATCTGGACCTTGTATGACTGTCTAACCTTTAATAATTCTTTATCCTTATCCACCACTTTGTCAATACTCGCTGCCGCACTTGCCTTTGGATCTATTTCACTATGCAATTTTTGGGTTTTAATTGGAATTTCTGTCTTTGACTTGGGTCCTGGTCTTTTTGTAACAAGTACCGTTTGGGGAGTATTTTGTATTTTACTAACTCCAAAAGGTTTTATATTTTTAGTGTTGTTATGATTTTGTGACATTTTTTTTGCAAAATGTTTAATTAATGAGACGAATCACCTGCTCTCGCTCACTCTATCTAACTGACTGACTGACTGCATGTTCCGTACTATCTTAGCGATCACACACTTATGGGATATGTCTCATCTTTCCCTATATGTAATCTGTATGTGATCGCTACTTGTCATTATATTTAGGTGGTTTACAAGGGATCGGTAGTGGCACAGCTCCGTCCTGCTTCTAGTTAATGACATAACCCATTGAATAAACTATTAGCATACCTCCAATGCTGGGGAATTCTTGGGCAAATCTCTGTGACTGATAGTTTCCGTCCGGGCCATTCCAATTTTTGTCCTAAGTATAGCAATAATGTACCGTAAATCGTGATGAAAAGCACTAATCTCAGTATATATATTATTTCAAAGAAACAATGTCGCTGAACTGTTTGTAGCCAGCCATGTTAGTTGAAATGAATGTAAATTAATTACGTGAGGTGGAAGAGGTCCTGGTCGAGGAACATTGGGCGCAACATTCATAACTGGTGGTGGCCCATGAGGATGTGTTGAACTCGTCCATTTTTGTTGATCTTGATGTGAGATGGGCTGTCCTAGACTCACTGAGGACGGTTGTGGTGGTTGCTGCTGTTGTGAAAGAGGCACTGGCGAATTATTAGCGGCGTCGTTGGGTTCAGGCTTTACTGCGACAACAGATGCACCAGCGCGTCTAGCAGGAGGAGCTTTCCTGAAACACATAAAATAATAATAGCATAATAATCTGGTGAACATTTAATTGTCAATTGGCTTCACCTGAAACTAAAGTTTAAAATATTTCTAACCTAACTATTGATGGTTGAAGGGGATGTTAATAAATAAAGCAACTGTTCTTCATACTTACCCCAATGTTTGCATGCCATGTTTCTGAGTTACTGTTTTGGCAACTGGCTCAGTAGTTTTACCCTGCTGGTGGTTGTGCAACAACAAAAACCAATTACATAATCACTCATTTCCACGCAAAGTTAAATTAGCATTTGTCAAGTTCAACGCGTACCTTGAAAAGTTTGTTAATGTCGATTCGATCGTAACCAGTTTTGGAAGTTGGCTTTGAGGTCTCCCCTTTGGTGGACCTACAATTTGATCAACTACCGTGTTTATTGTGTTCGTTCTGTTTAAAATTGTAAAGTATTAAGATTGTGCTAACTTACGCTTGTGGCCCCAAATTCCCTGACATCCTGTCTCCTCGTCCTCATTTAGAATAACTAGTCTCAATCACACCCACACGAACCCCCCGTGTATCTGCAAAATAACCATCGTTTTTATTAACCAAGTAACACGAATTACACTACAAACCGAATGTTGTGCTAACCACGGTAAGCTCGTACGGGTTGGTTGCGAAACTAACAAGAACGCTTTGATTCTTCAAGAATAGGAGGTGACCCTGTCCACAATGTGTTTCACCGTTTGAATTCGGAAGATTGTTTAGGGGCTGTTGTTGTTTTTGTTGTTGCTGGTGGGAGGGACACTATGATATCTGCAAGGGCATACAAAATAATTAATAGAGAGAAAAACTACTTGCTGGTAGGTATGCATGTATGTTGGTATGCTTAAACAAAACAACATAATCACAACATGATCCTCTTGTCATTGTTCATTCATTATTTGTAAGTACTATTCATGACTCACCCCAACCAGAGCAGAAGAACCGATGACGATGATGAACACAAAGGCAGACCACGTTGTTGCAAAAATTGCAGTCTATTCAGTTCAACGAACGTTACCAATGTTCCTCCTTGTGTTCTCTACAGGAAGTGGGAAGAACCACCCCTTCCGCAAAAGGACTCGAAAAATTTACAAAAAACTCACTCGAAGACGTGCTTTAATTGAACCACAATTATTTGTATTTCGTCCTCCCTACCTGTCAATACTTATTTTTTATAGCTATTACAAACTATGAGTAATAAACCTACGGAATATCCTAAAACTATGTGAGTAGCAAAGAGTGTGGTTGTTCGAGGATGGCTTATCTGCGTGTGGCCAGAATTGGTAGTAACAATCGTGGAGTTTCTTGGTGATAACTGATGATGAGGAGGAGGAGGAGACGACGAAGAAGGAGAGAAGGTGAAGATGCGGCAATTTTTCCTCTCGCAATGGCGTGGTTAAGTTGGGACGGGACGATGTGCACCACCACCAGCCAAACTGGACATGGAGTGTAATGCGTTGCTATTAGAGCAGGCAGCAGAAGTGGTGGGATCAATGAATTCCTCAGCCACCAAACTCCAGCCCCGCGCCATCTCACCAAACCCACGGCAAACCCACTACGCCACCACCAACTACTTTTACTTGCCGTCTTTTTTTCCTAGAGAAAGCCAACTTTCTCTCGATTTATATTCTTCACTTTCACTTCTCTAAAATCTAGAGAATCTCTAGCCAACTTAATTCTTAGGTTATTTGAGGACACATTTCTTAAATAGGTTGTGGGGAATATAAAATTTTGTTACATTTTATAAAGCTGAAATTTAGATGCTGCACCCAACTTTCACCACTTTGGGTCTCCTTTTGGGAAGCAACTTTGTGAGATTGCAGTATAAGATAAACACATCTGAATGTGTATCTGATGTCACTATCTGATGCAGTTATCAAACTTGCTCCATGTGGAGAAAATTTTTGTAACCGAAATTTTCATTCTCATGGCATTTCATTGGGTATACATACATTGGTTTGTTCATTTGTCGCATCATCCATAAAATGTTCAATATACATTCTTGCCCACCTGGCCCGCTTAGGATTAGTTGGTGTCTATTATATCACCCTGTCTCATTTTGTCTCACATTTCTCAGTCTCAACTTTTCCATCAGTGAAGCATGGCATGCATACAAACGCTTAATCCCAATCCCTTCTGTCCAGAGCTTGCATTCCTCCAGACCAGCTCGAGGAGAAAGCACACCACCAACCCAGAACCAACCTCAAGCAAAGGAAGCAAGATTTCAACTTTGTTTAAGAAGCGAATCCGATTGTTAATGGGCAGCCACGAGGAACTCCGAGAAAAGACACGGCATAAAATATTATGATACGCTCTTTTCTGGCTTTTACATCCTCGAACCAAAGAAAGTGCTCAATGGAATGAACTTGGCTTCTCAAGTCTCACGGCTCTCTTCAGCTATACAACCACAACCACACATTGCTGTGCTTATACGATACATATTATACATGCCTGCCCACTACTTTACTTCTTCACAAAGCTAAAGGGTTGGTTTTGGCTACTGCAACTTACAAATATATGGCTCAACTTGCACTTATTAAGAACAACAATAATAACACACTGACAACGCAGAGCAAAGAACCAGATCCTCTCGTCTAGCCCATACTCACAGAGACTGACTGCATTACAGACGCTGATAAAGTTAACACATTATCCGAGGCAATGCCACATACAAACAACCAACTAAAGTGGTACCAGTTAGACGTCGTTATAATATAGTCGAAAGTGGTGGATCACAGCAAACCAAACCGCATTGCCTCATCTTGTGTAAGCCTTAGCTCTACACGAATGCCATTGCATTGTGAATTCTTCTGCTACACAATAATGCCAGAAAGAATAATAAGTAAGAGGAGATAGATACAATCTGATGTGATGGTGCACCTCGCAATTTTTTACTATCACCACTACTACTACTCCTGCATACTGCTCTGTACGTATTACGATACGAAGGGACATCCCACCACTAAATGAAGATTTTTCGTCATTTCTCCCATTCATGCAATCACAACACCTCACACTCATTTGTTGTAGCTCATCATGAGCTGATTTTTACTGGGCCACTTATTTAGTCCCTCTACTCCAGGCTGTATAGCAGTGTCTGCCAAACGTGTGCTTTCTGAGATAATCTTCAACTTACGGAGAACAACTCCATGCAAAAACCTTCTCAATTCAACAATAAATTGCAAAGACAACAAATTTGCGACCAAGAAAATTACTGAGTTGAAAGCTGCATGAAGTAGCAAAAATGGAACATCAGTACTTCGCAATTAGGACGATTATCATTACGATTTAATGGGATCAAAGTCGATTGAAGAAATTTGATCCGGTCTCCGTGTGTGGCTTTCCGTTAAATGAGGGAGGACATTCGGGAAGGATTGTAACGCAAGAAATCCACAACACCAACGAAGAAATAAAATAATAATCAACCGGGTTCAAATTCTCATAGAAGAAGGGTATTCGATTCGGGTTACAGTACGTTGAAAGTGTAAAGTGACATTGGATATTGGACCGCAGTGGAAATGACGTCCTATAGTGACATGAAATTGGAGAGATGTTGAGAACAATTTGACCCTGCATTCAAAATAAAACTGCAAAATATGTATAGTTTATGCCGAGATATGCCATATACCAAGTGTGCTATTGTTTACGTTAAGATGCACATTCCGATTGTATTAATGAAATGTTGTACGACAACGTAATCCATATTAATAATAATTGTTAGAGCGGTGTCGAGTTCAACTGACTGCACAGTATAATTTATACTGTATAAACTACCAAATATTTTAATGACACAGTATATGTATGTCTCAATTTATTGTGCAACAAACAAGCCTATTCTGTATTTATTTAATAATTCGCATGCATGAACGGGAACTTCCAAGAAATGTTTCTGAGAGAAAACAACAACATCACCAACGACAAAAACAACATTGTTTGGAGCGAATTTGCCTTGATTTATCTCAGCAATGATGAACGGATTCTACGACTTCCAAACAACAGCAGAGCAACTACTTGCAGATAGTTCGGGAATGATGATGAATATGTCAGACTCTGAATTTGGGTCGTCGGACTCATCCTCCTTGGGAATATCTCACTCCCACCCTCGCATTGCTCCCAATCTCATGCTCAATGGGGGTGGGGGCAGTCAGTTTATGATGATGGGAACCACCGTACAAAACCAGACGTATATTACTCAGCAAAACCCAGGCGCACATCACTACAACAATAACTCATCCTCTGGTCACCATCATCATCAAGGGTCCACAATCAAACCGATGGTAATGCGAAGTGGGGGCAAACCAGCAGCAATGGCGCAAGCACAACAAGCATGCACAATGAACAACGAATCCTCCTCCAGACACAAACACACGGACCACTTTCTGAGCCAGTTTCAAGAACAAATGTCCCAAATGAAATCTGCCATGGATGCTGTCCAAAATGAAATTTTATTTCACTCCTCCTCCCCCGCCACCCACCAACTAAGCCCTCACACACCCTCGTCCCCTCTGATGGTGGGAGCGGCAGGTGGTAAACCTATGGCTGCTGCGGCCATGGCCATGACCTCGTTTTCCCCATCTCCTCCTGCAAAAAGAGGCCCTGGCAGGTGAGCATAATTTAGCTACATATTTCTGGTATGCAAATTGTGACAACCCACAGCAATTTGGGATACGATAAATTATATACTCAACGTTTTTTTTTGCAAAACACTGATGCAAAAAGCTTACTATTCTAACTTTTATGAATTTTCATGTAATGTGCTGTATAATAAATATTTTGCAGACCTCGAGGGAGTGGAGCAGCACAATCTACCAAATCCGTACGATACCAATCTCAAATCTCAGCTCTGAATGGGTTAAAGATCAGAATAAAAAAGTCCCCTGGTCAGTTGAAGAGGAAAGGTTACAAGGGAAAAGGCAAGAGAAAAAAGAGAAAAGGGAACGACGATGAGGATGATGACGACGATAACTCTGACGAAGAAGAAGAGTACAGAAGACCATCTGTCCAAAAAAGTACAAAAATGTCCCATGCTACGACAAATCTTTTGAGTGGTGACGGAAATGCCACAACAACAACGAGTCAAAGTGGGTGGGGTGATAGTCTGCCTGAACATGTTCTATCTAAAATTTTTTCATACGCTGTGAAGTGTGAAGGAGGTGCCATTCCGGTGCTGGTCAGGTAAATATAAAATCAATTACTTTTGATCACGGGAAGCAATCCCCTGAAGGTAAACTATACTTGACTCAAATATATGTATGTGTGTAGAGCTTCAAAAGTTAGTCGGCTGTGGTGGAAGACGGCGTCCAAACCAGATCTGTGGACTTTGGTTGATCTTTCGTCGCCCAGAGTGAAGGATAAATTCAAGATTGAGCGAAACTTGGTTTATTTTTTAGAGCATCGGTTTCCTCGAGTAAAGCATTTAAACCTAGGTAGGTATTATATAGGTATACATAATTTTGGCAGTATCAACAAAGTTTAGGGTTAAAATTTGTATTATAAAGTTGCCATTATTTTTACCATTATTTTATTCATTAAAAATTATTTTTTGTAGCTGGAGGATGGCCTTTAACTAATCTATCCATTGATGTACTAATACGATCCTGCAAAGAATTGGAAAATATTGGGCTAAATGGGTGTCAAAAACTGACGGCACAGCATTTAAAAACTATTACAGAATCCTGCTTGTCTCTCAAAAAAATTGATCTCTCCGCAATTTCTGTAAGACCTATAAATATTGCACCAAATCATTGTGTGCCAAATCACTACACCCACAAAAGAAGATTCTGATTAACGAATACACTTTGTTATTTTGTTTCAGACCACGTATAATACAAAGACTGCAGTTTCGCCAGCAGCAATTGCGGATTGTGCCGAAACAATGGGTGAACGATTGATGCATTTATCGTTGGCAAATAATTGTCTAGCTAATTGTCCACAAATTGTTGCGTCACTTGCGGTACATAGCTAATTTTCTATCTTCCACAATATATGCCAACTATATTTACTAGCTTTATTACTTCAATAATTTTGATTATTCAGGAGTTTTGTCCAAATTTACAAGTTTTGGATTTGTCAAATGTCACTTCACCAAGGAGGGACACAATCGTTATCAATATCGGTTAGTTATTTTCGACATATTTAGAGAATATAAAACGCATCTTTACTGTTATTAAAAGAGGATACAAATACAATTTATTAATTATGCTTCATATATCTTTATCTGTAGAGCACCTTCAACAAGGGTGTCAGAGACTCAAAATTTTGCGTTTAACCAATTCAGACTTTGTTCTTAGCGAGACTTCATTAAAAGAGCAGGTAATTTAACTGACATGACATTTACATGAATGGCTTTCTCCAGTTTATATTTAGCGTATCTATGTACATGTGCATATGTATACATATATCTATTACACTTAAGGTTTCTTCGCCTGGATTTAAAAATTTAGAAGAATTGAGTATTGCTGTGGACCCCAAACGATGCGTGGTAATTACTTGAAATTTATACAAAATAGTGCATGCTTAATTATTCACACGGATTATTGGGTTGCTCCAAATTTCTAGGGGATGGATGAAGGGGACTTGGAAAGAATTTTGAAACAAGCTAACAAGCTGAAACTGTTAGATGTGCGTGGCTGTTCCAGAATCGGTGACTCGGGTCTCGTTAGGTTAGAACAACATAAATCTAAGCATTATAAATATTCTAATAATTCAATGAGTCTAATTATTAATTTTGTAATACGTGTATAGGATTTCAGCTTGGGAGGTTAGTAAGCACAAATATTAATATTGAGGCGACTCACCCAGTCTTTGGTAACATAGATAGTAATGTTTATCAAACAAGTAAGTTTTATAAAACTATTTTACGAACTCTTCCAAAATAAGAAGAGGCCCTTGATCTGTGAAAGCTTACAATCAAGGTTTTTTACACTTGGGGATGGTATTTAAAGAGCCACAGGGGGTTCTTATTAGTTACATGGGAATATGCAATTCATTTATATATGCAGTATATAGTGACCATGACCATGCACTTAAGGCCGACGATTTTTCAGCTACAATAGCTAATTTTATGCTAGACTAACAAACACGAGTATAGTGGGCTATACTCGTGCAAATTATAAGGCTACATTACATATATTATATATATCAGTACAGTACTTACATTTATTTAATTTTCAGCTCGAGCATTTGTATCTGTCAGGCAAGTTCAACATGCTTAATGATAACATATACATTTCACTCCACCTTTATTCACCATCAATATGACTTTCATATTACAGGATGCTATGCTACAAGATCAAGCAATGATGGGCTAGAACTCGTGTAAGTTTGGTCTTATTTTACTTGATTAACATGAGACATGGAACAATTGTCAAATGATGATGTACCCATAATACCCATATAGATCCCGAAAATGGAGACATAGTTTCAAAGAAATTGACTTTTCATGGACTCCTGGAGAAGAAACGATCAATTGTGCGGTGAGAGCCTTGGCTGAAGCCGATGATGATGTGCCTCCACTTCGGGTTTTGGACCTCTGTGGCTCCTCAGTTTCCTTTGATAGTGTGAAACTTGCTTTAAAAACGTGCATCCATTTGGAAAAATTGAACCTCACATCGTGCAGGTATTACATATAATGATTTATTTCATCTCGTCAAAGTCAGCTAAAGGCTAGATTTTAAATATGCATTGACAATTAATTCTTGTTAATTAAACCATACTTTGTAAACCATCAGAGCCTTACCGAGAGGAATTAAACGCAATTACCAAATTCCTGACGAAGTGGTAACATTGCGAGAACAAGTGCTTTCTGGAAAATATGATGACCATCCCGATGACTAATCTCCTTGCATACTTGACCCTGATTTCGTATTATCAATGTTATTATTATTATACATTACATTATAAAAATAGAATTTATGAAATTATGTAGTTGTGCATTTTTTATGGCAGCAGATTTATCGTTATAAGGTAGCATATTAGAGCAATTAATACAAAATTGAAAAATTATATAAAAACAATAAGATATTAACTATTTTTGAGGTTGACAAAGTTTAACAGCGTATGTATTAAACTGGTCGTACTTTTGGTGCAAATAAGTTCCAATGACATGTTAATGTTCTACTACTACCTAATAAATACGTAATTCTTGAGACTTTTTCCGCTATAAAAACTATTGTAACAATTTTGCCTTAAAATTTAGTGCAAAAATATTTATGGCAATTTTGTGCCTATACACTTATGCATTAGGTTAGTTATTTCAACAGTAATCTTGTTTTGCTACAGAACAGATAATGATATATGTAATCAATTTCACACATGTGCAGCTTTACACACGTTAATAATTTTATTAATATAAATATATTACTACTTTTATTCTCATCAAGAAATAAAATCGAACAAGTTTTTTAAGAGTTTGTCGTATAACTGCAATAATTTTTTAAGGTAAATGTTTAAATTCCAGATGGAACTTTGCATATTGACAAACAAATAAACTACTTGTTGATTATAGACATTATAGACATTCATGAAGATGTTCATTATAGACATTCATGTCATATTATAGACATTCATGAATGTAGTCAATTTCTTTTACCACAAAAAACATTTTAATTGTTGAAATCACCCATTAATAAGTAGGTGATTGTTATGCATAATAAATGCTTGCATTTGTTTATTTTAAATGCCATATTTGAAAGAATTGAAATCTCAGAGTAATAAACAAAAGGTGTAAAGGAAAATGTTAACAAATTGAGCAAAGCCTGCTAGATTTATTTTCAGAAAATGCATGTATACACAAACTTTCAAGACTATAATTGACCATCACTGTTGGTGTTCGTTACTTATGTGGTGGTGAGGACAGTTAAATAAATTCCAAGTGGCACACGCCCTGTTTCCAGCTAATTATAGTTAATCATATAAATTAATAGTCTTTCATAAAGTGTGGTAACAATTTAAATGCAAACAAATCGCTCAGAAAGAATTCAGTGTTATTTTGCTTGAAAACTTTTATACAGTTTTTTATTCCAAATAATCCCTACTTCCAACTTAATTTCGAGGAGTAAAAACACTCTAGCCTATCTTAAAAGATAAAATCTCACTAATAAAGTTTAGCTTGTAATAATTTTATAATACCTACAGTTAATGTAATAATTGTAATGAAGTATAATAATAATGTACTTATTTATGATACGCCGGTTAGAATGTTGCATAGTTTACTTGTTGTCGTTCTTTTGTCCTATTCGCCGTGTAAATGCGAACAAATTATTTAAAAGCAAGCGTCAATGACACAAAAATAGGCATACAAATAATGAATCGCAGGAGTTATATTAATTTGTGTCACGCAAATATGTATATTATTTTGATACTCTTTCATGTTCTCCTACGATGGACGAGGTAGACTTGCTCTTAATAAAATAACAAAACAGATGAGGTTTTGAGATCGAACATTAATCACATTACAAAAAAGGTTTGCCCTAATAAATAATTTCAACAATTTTTCTGTCTTGTAAAAATTGTATGAAAATACAAATGACCATACAAATAACTATAAATAACGTATTAGCGTACTTCAAACTACATTATTAAGAAATTATTAAGTACTTCTAAAAAAACTCGACATTTAATTTTTATGGTAAAGCGGATTGTTATTTTTTTCGGAGGTGGCTTTATCCACTACACCCTTTAGACAAAGGTTTTAATTGAGATACAAATACTGACTACAAAATTAATGCCAGTATATAAAGCATACGGCTAGTTATAATATATACGCTATATTTTACGCTCGTCATCGATCGGCGTCTCCTCTTTGAGACTCTTTCCTCTTTGATCTCAAACTTCTTCCGGAGGACGATCCACGTCGAACTTCGCTACAATGATCTCGATGAATTGACCAGTCATCTTTTTGACACATTCGAGAACAGTATCGAGCTCCCTAATGGTAAAACATTGCAATATATTTGGGATAGTTCAAAGATCATTCCATTTGTTTAAATAAATGCTGCAATTTTAACTTAATTACCTGGCATCGACCACACATTGCAAATTCTCTTGGTTCTGTCTCTATTGCATTGCAGGGAGCATAATGGCACTCGAAAAAATAAAAACCTAAAAACGAGAGAAAAAATAGCAACTATATAGATTCTTTTAAATCTGGTCAGGTATGTTGTTGAATTTCTTTCTAATTACTTACCTGGCGAATCTCTCGATATTAATTCTCCTTCGGTTGTGTAATATGCCCTACTGCACGGTGCACTGCCTGCGTTTTTCTGCTATTCGAAATACAAAATAAACACGGTGTTAGTCAATTTATTTTTCAGCTATTGTCTAATAACTTTGGGGGAAATATTAAGTATTTATGGACAATAAATACCTCGTCAGTCTCATTTGAGAGTAGCTGGGTTATTGCCTTCCAGTAAAGTGAGTTTTCCCCCCGACGCCTTTCACTCTTGTCCTCCCGACGGCTCTCATTGTTCTCATTGTCGCTCAACATTTCTTCATCTTCATTCTCCTGTCTCCGACTCCTCCTACGTCGCTCCCAAGAGTGACTCTCTAAACATCTGCTCTGCAAAATTTTGTCCTGTTCTAGTCGTGATATCCATTTTGGAACTAGCATTGAATAGTTATGTAGGTTAGATATTGAACGATTATATATAAATTTAGTTGACCAGGTATAGAATGCAACATGTTAAGTGACTTGTCCTTAGTAGATCGTCCAAACCAATTATGATGCATTTTACCCAAGCCAAGCACAATAGTAACTTACCAATGCATAAATTATCCATCCTATTGTCCATCGTTATTCCATTAAGGTGTCGAACTTCAAAACCGTAGTCTATTCGTCCATGACGATTTTCCCTGGAGCAGGAGGAATATAGAGAAAGAAAGATGAAATTAAATTCGTTTAATCCATGCACGCTAATATCGTGTGTTTTACCATAATATATTTTGCAGAGGAAGAGGGTCTGAACCAGTAGCCTTCGGATGACCCATCGCTAGTACTTTTAACCCATCCCCATTTCTGTCGATTTCTAATGTCATATGGATAAAGAAGGTTGGGTCAAAGTGATATAAATTTAAACATGATAATCCCATGCATTTCCTTACCCAATCGAGCGTCGAATTTGTAATTATGTATCTGTAATTGTATTTAACAATGGCTTTTAATGTGGTTTCCCACTACTCGAGGAAAACTGACTTAACACTCATTATCATCAAAACTTTACTTACGTGTTGAATATCAACTTCGTCTATTAGTGCATATTTCGTCTGTAAATTCAGGCACAACAATGAGTTTGAATTTTTATATATGACGCTTTGTCTTTTTATTTTTGGATCCAAGCGATTATTCGCCAATCCAAAAACAATTCTACATGGTAATATCAGCGTTTAATGTTATGCATAATGTACAAACCTTTCCTACTGCAGTTCCCAATTTGACAATTCCCAACCTGACCGTTTTCTGGTCGTCCACAGCTTCGAGTAATTTCATTCTGAATTACGTCTTTGATTGTTTTTTAATTGTAACGATAAACCAACGAATTGTAGCTGATCAGGTCAAAAATACGGTAGATGTATCAATGATTATTCCACGAACTCTGGATCCTCTCCTTGGCTCTGCGTCTTTCCTACTGACGTTGTTCTTCAGAACAAAATTCTTCACTGGTTAATAATCTCGGACAATCTTGTCATGATAATCTCTCTGTAATTTACAACAAAAACCAAAATACATGGTAAATCACCAACTCACAAGAAGGTAGCGTTGCTGATACATTTGCATCTCAAGTTTCAATGAGAAAGACCACAGTACGATACATGCATCAATTGAGGAATAATATTCATATCGATGCATACCATCGCCTACTTATTTAACCACCACCACTACGTACTTATGCATACAGTATACCTGCCATAATCAGATAAAGATAAGCCATCATCGAGAAATGGAAATATGTCATCCATAACAAATCGTCAGATTATTAGATATGCATTATGTATATATCTACAGTTCTTCACCAAATTCTATGTAAAGTATATACGCTCAAACAAGAAATCAATGTATGTGTTAGTAACAAAAATTTCTAAGCCAGAATAAGACTAAGACACACATTTATCTCTGTCCACAGAAGGTATGTTCTTTCATTCATCGGATTCATCCCAATTAAACCCAAAAAATAATAAATTTAAGGAAAACATATTTGTTGAGACAAACTCTCGGGTCTGTAAAACGCATGTGTTTTTGTTCTATTTCTTCATCCCTCGCCGGCGGTAAATAAATATGACAGCGGAATAATGCACGATAACACCAAAGTTGAATAACAGTATAATAAAACAATTTTCTAGGTCAGCAGCAATAAAGGAAGAACATACATCCTTATGCACTCCCACTCGGCCCAGAGAACAAAATGATTCTTTCTGATCAAATGAACCATTGATGTAATTAGCAACTCATTATATAAGTCCTAGCGTGGTTTCTCAATACGACCCGTGGGGATATATAGGTTGCATTAAATGACATTGTGCGAATCCGGCATATGTACTGAATTTCCCAAGTGAAATTCGACACTGCACGAAATTTGTTGGGGCAATGAGAACAAGATCATAATTTGCAAAAATTTTCTCAAGCTCGGACCTGCAAAACTTATGGCAAGCCGTGCTACTCATCAACCTTCCTACCACTGCAACTATTATTATATTATACAACAGTTACTTCAGTTCAATTCTCTCGTCTCTCTCAGGAGTGCGAGAAGAGAGACGGTTTGCTTGAACTGGGCGAAATAACGGAACTCGGGGAGTTGGTTGGAGGAGTCGCCAAGCATCAGAAAAATAGAATGCAAAATAAGTGCAAGCACAAAAATGGCAAGCACAGTACATATATGTGTGTATAAATGTATATGCAGCTTTTGCAGAATACTAGTAGGAGAACATACAGCAACCAGAGGAGAGTTCCACGAACTTGCTTTAAAAACATTTGCACAGCGCAGCACCAACAATGATAAAATAACGAGTAATATGTACATATCTAATACTATCATAATGATAATATATTGCTCGCAGAGCTGCACTATCGTCAAACTACATATACATGAATGCAGTGCAAATGCAATGCGACTTAATTTTAAAGCCACGTTAGTTAACTAACGCACATCCCACACGTAATAACAACAAAGGGTTTTGACGAGATTGAGAAAGCTGAACTAACACTGCACGTCAGGTTTTAATGAAGAAACATCCTTGTCCCGTTTTGTTTAAACTCTTTAATTCGTCGTTCTCCTTTTTGCACATTTTCTGAAAACGGAAAGGGAATCCTTTAGGTTTGATGAGAGATATCTCTCAACAAGTGTGCTCTGTCAAGACACTAGGAGCAAAATAGAATAATGTGGGATAAAATGTAGGCAAGTAATAATATAACCGTCCATATATGACGCCAAATCAAACTTGCAAGAATGTATTTACAAAACCAAGCAAATAAAAATAACCCTGTATTTGCCTTTTTTAGCGTTTTCTACTTTTATCTATTAAACGGACAAATTGAGATTCATATATTCGTATCATAATTGCATGCATATTAATAAATAAATATATATAATTGTATGTATTTCTGCACTACGCATTAAAATGGAATTAAAATGAATTATAATTGAAGAATATTATGTAAAATAATTATGTATGAATTATATTCCTATTAAGTGGCAGGTCCTAAGTCTAATCGTGTAAAATAATTTGCGATCTGGTCTATTGGATTTGTGCCCAATCCCAATTGTATGCAAGTACGAAAGCACAAACATTTAAATACTCACCAAAACTCACGATGATGAATTATTACAAAATTTCCACACGCTATAGATTTTATTGGGTTCAAATAGAGTAATAATACACTTTCATCTTTCAGGAATGGTGTTTCAATCTGTAAAAACCAAATTGACTAAGTGTGTGACTACTCTGAGATATGCACTCACCACACACCGTTAACTTATTTTATAGTGTAAAACTTTGCGAAATGTCACTTTGTTCTTGGTCACCACAACTTGTTCCTCTTCTATTAATGCCAGACAGCAGACTTAGCAAAAAAAAATATGATTACTCTCTCAGATTTCCAAATCCGTCAACTTTAACTAATGTTGATAAGTTTGGATTTCTTCTCCGTATAATACGGACCGTATTCTAAATATGGATGATGGGCATGGTTTTATTCTGAGGAGTTGAAAAAATGGATCCTTAGCCTATTTATTAACCAACCTTGTTGCTTTCCTTCTTTCTTTTGTTGTATCGTTGCTTATGTGTGATATGGTCAGTGCTCAACAGGGTTTTACGAAATATTTATATATCGCTTGTATCTCCTCTGGCTTGCCAGACCTTCCAAATCCCAACAACAGCCCTCCTTTATAAATGTGTATGTTTTATTGTGATTATGCTATTTTGCGTTATTTTACTTGCTTATTGCAGTGATGTGATGTACTCCTGTTTCTTCTTTATCCACACCGTCGTCAGAGTTGTGTTGTACAAGCTCCTCAAAATCGTTTTTAAATCACCAGCACATTACAAGGGAACTAGTACAAGTTGTACTGTACAACGCATACGTGCAATGTAAAAATTTGTGGCTATTGCAAAGGTGTAGTTTTTTAAGTCGCTCCCCACCTTTCAGTCCCACCAGCACAGCTGCCACGGTTGTTGTCTGTGTGTAGTCCAAGTGCCTTCCTTTTAGTCTCGACTTCAGTTCAGCAGAGGTAGAGGTATTAATTCGTAAGAAGTACAATAAACGCCTCAGTAGCGAGGAATCACCCGCACGTTGGTATATTAGCGCACAAAATGACTATATGCACTTGAAGTGAGTCGCTTGCCTTGCTCTTGTTATTAGTTGTGGTAAAAAGAGGGACTTTTTGCATTCAGAGTTAAGCCAGAGAGAACAATGATATGTTGTTACTTGTGTATATGGTGTGAGGCTGCTGCTGCTGCCTCAACTGAAACTTGGTAAATCCAAGTGGGAGAATTTACGAGAGGGAAAAGTATACGAAGGAGGAATTGCCATATATGAGAGATCTTGTATAAGTATTTCTCTTCCATGAGGAATTGCCAAACTAAAGTGCGAGAGAGAGAGCATCAACCACTTCTCAATGCTGAACTGAACCACCGGTCATTCACACACACTCCCAAACCCAACCAACCTTGGTACCTAACCATACTCGTGCCAGCCAGTAAATAGGAAACCCACCATTCTTTCTTTCTCTCTCTCTCTCTCTCCTTTCTCCTCACCCACAAATTGCACCGAATTTCTCAACCTCCTCCTAGATTGTGCATACTTCTGCCCTTCCTGCTCTCTCTCCAGCGAGCGAGCGAGATCAAACGCTGCTTCTGCCTCGATTTCCCCTTGCCTGACTTTTACTTACTGGGTACCATATAGTTGATGTAGTGACAGAGAGACTGAGAGAACCCGATTCCGGGTAGAACAACAACCAATGCATTATGTACAAGGACTAATGCGACGCGAGGCTTCCTACTTCCCAGAGTACGTTGACGTGGATGGGTGGTATTATATGCCAAGCAGTTCTGGGAAGAAAGTCGACGGAGAAAGTACGTCAGCACGAAACAAAATCACTCGATGAAGGGGATTCGCTCAAAACGTGTTTCACCTTGAAAGAAAGGTAATTACGATTGAGAGAAGCCTTTCTACAGACACGAGGCTAAAGGAACTTTTTTATATATTTAAGAAAAAGTATGATTCAATCCAGAGAATGTACACAAGATGAAAGTGACTTGGCTTGGAAATCATTTTTGTAATGAAAAACATGTTTGCATGTATGCATAGTTATTTTCATACATACATATACATACGTATGGGACTACGCATTATGCATTGTATCAATTGTATGTATGATTTTTTCTGATTGTCTTAAAATGTTTAGCTTGTCAACGTCATTTATAATTATGAAAATCATGAATTGATGATGCAAGATAAGCTAAAATTATAAATTATAACATAATTTATAAATTAGAGTAGACTTTAATAATCTGATCATTATAATTCAGCCATTCAACCGGACAAAAGTTGATTGGGGTGAGAGGTGGTGGTGGTCATGCAAATACCAACTGCATTTAGCCGGAAAATAACTTTACACAATTGCGAAAAATATAGAAGGTACTGTTGTAGATAAAACTGAAAGCTGTTCTTCATATATATATATATATATTCCTATTATTTCTTGTTCTTGATGAAATTGGATAATAAAGTTACACTATGCGAGGTTAACGCTTTCCGCCATTATAATTCATTCGCATTGTTGGAGCCTTAAAATTCGATGCCGCTTGATGCTGGAGTTGATAAGCCAACGGGTGTATTTTAAATCCATATAACCTGTCATGATACATACATTAGTTTATAATAATAGCTAAAATGAGTGATGTAGTCTTCTTGTTTCATTTTAAAATCGAAACAAGACCTGTAAATGTATACAACTAACCGTGGAACAAATTGGTTCGTAGGACGCTTTGGACGATATTCGGGGTGAACCATGAACAGCATATGGGGGAACCCAGTTCCAAAATAGGCTCCATCAGTATGATGATGTCGCGAAGATTTTGGAGTGTAAACGTCCATGCACTTTGGACAATACAGCTTAACCATAGCCTCGCCAGGCACATCGGATAGCCCTTTTAACCAAAAAATCAACCCATTTACCACTATGCTATTAGCCGATCGGATGTTGGGTCCCATCGCTCTCATACATATTGCCGAAATTTCTCTTACCAATGGGCAACATAGCTTGATTTTCACAATACACGCGAGGACAGTGGCCAAAGTCGCCAGATTGATATTTCTCAATCATCTGGGCGATCCCTCGGTTGGTAAGAATGTAGCGAGCGTGAATCAGTCCGTATAGAAGTTCCGCAGCCTGCTCTATGAGATCTGATTGGTTTGGGTTGTCCTCTATTTCATCGTCCGCTTCAAGATCTAAAATCATGTCCAATGCTTGACGATAATGGGGAACTTGCTCATTAAGTCCTGTCAGATTAAACTTGTCTTGAATATAGTCTTCGTCCACCTATTTAAATTTCATCCACACATTAGTGTTCGATGAGTTATGTAACACCAAAGTGCAAAGGCATTTTTACAATTTAATTAATGTCGTTATTTAGTACCTCGCAGAAGAATTCATTCCCACGTAGTCCGCAAAACCAACTGATCCAAGAGACTTCCTCCGAGCTGCTCATTTTCCGTTTGACGGTTATTGTAACTCTAGCCGGATCAAGCTCTGACAAAGAATTTAACGTATGCTTTCTCCAATTATACCGAGAATATTCTCACCAAACCTGTAACAATCAATATGATTTACATTTAGCGACTATTTACATAAGCAACCCCCATTTTCTAAAAAAACGTATGTGTTATGTAATTTATATAGTAAAAATATCAGTTGACCAAATCCCTTTCTCTTTGAATTATATAATATTTCAAATAATATCTATAATAATTCTGAACGCTCCTCCAACCAATTTGTGGCTCACCATTAAAATTGTGCCTGACTTAACGGATTTCAACGATGACTCCTGATCTGCCGATGATTAATAGTAATTAATACAAATGGTTGGAGTAAACGGGAATTAGGGCAGGACCTCGATGGGTTTCTCCAAAAGGCGGTGAGTAAGTCGGGGTTATTGCTGCGGGGGGAGCGTTGCTGGGGCGGGGTGAAGAAGTCGAGGGTGGGAGGCAAGAAGTGTTCGAGACCGCAGAGAGACGGTGGGAGCCAGCCAGAATGAATAATACTTGGATTTTATTTATTCGAGACGGTGAGGAGAGATTTGGCTGGATGAGAGTGAGATGGAGAGAGAGGTGGATGCTGCCACAAGCGACTGGTGGCCACGGCACCAACCACCAAGCCGCCAACAACGCTCAATGTCCACTTTCACCCTCGCTCACTCGACAACTTCAACCAGCTTTCTCCCCACTTCACACAGACTGCTTTCTCCAGCCGGCTGCCGGAAGGAAGCATCATGGTACGATTTCTGATAAGAATTTATCAACGGATATTCTGGCATTGAAAGTTAACATTGTATGGTCTTTATGGTTTTGCGCATTGTTGAGAAAATTAAGCAGGATATTGATAAAAATTACGAGTTAATAATATGCTTGACTTTCTCCAGTAGTGTTTGCCGTTACGTTACACTATTAGGTTCAATTATATATAATAATTTCATAATTATTGATTAATATATGTTTTTGCATAATATGGTGTTTTAGTCCGTGACATTGAAGACAGACGTTGGCGATATTAAGATCGAGTTGCATTGTGAGCTTGTACCGAAGACATGTGAAAATTTTTTGGCCCTATGTGCCAGTGGATATTACGATGGATGCATCTTTCATCGAAATATGAAAGGCTTTATGGTTCAGACGGGTGAGCAGTAATAATAATGATTATCATGCATACATTTTATGTTACCTGCGTTCACGCATCATTCAATTATAATTGTTAATCGTATTAACTGGTATGGTAGGAGATCCAACCGGAAACGGAAAAGGAGGAAATTCTATTTGGGGCAAGAAATTTCCAGATGAGTTTAAAGAAGAGCTCAAGGTAAGAAATACTAAGTGGCTTAATGTATTGAAAATGATAAAAGAAAGATAACTTTACTCTAGCACGCAGCAAGAGGAGTTGTCAGTATGGCAAACAGTGGACCTAATTCTAATGGATCACAATTTTTTATTTCATACGATGCGCAACCACATTTAGATCTCAAGTACACAATTTTTGGCAGGTTAATATATTTACACTGCATATTTACAATATTACTAAGTACTATATAGTGAACATTGTTGTATGTTATTTTAATTTATTTCAGAGTAATTGATGGAATGGATGCCTTGGACGAATTAGAAAAATTACCTGTAAATCCTAAAAATTACAAACCCTTAACAGATACTAGACTATTGTCTGTAGTAATTCACGCTAACCCTTTAGCCACAGCATCTTAAAGTGACGCATATGTCTGAATTTATTTATAGTCCAGTCAGACTGATTTTATATTTTTAGTAGCTATTTTGTATAACATATAAAGATCTTAAATAAGTCACATAATTGAACTAAGATTAAAGAAAATGCCATCCAATCAATGTAATTTCTGTACTACTACATATTTTGTTATGCCTGCACATCAACATCGTTAAGCTTTTCAAAAGTATTGGCTGACGTGGGTTGCAACCAGTTTTCTGACGAATAACTAACAGATCCATCGATTACATGGAAAGTATAAGCCATTCTCGGTTGATCCGATGTGTTGGGCTCACTTTGATGAATCACGAGACCGTCAATAACAACCAAATCACCTACAGAAATTAGATCAGCAAAGAAAATTATGTGATTATAGTTTATTCATTCCACAAAAAATGTACGGTCGATGACTCGTACATTTCTGGGTAGTGAAGCCAATGTCCCGTTTATAAAGAACATCAGCATCTTCTCTTGCACATCAAAGATAACGGAAAATATTCAGTATGAAATGCCTCCACACAAGAACACTGCTTATGTCGAACTACTGGGTGAATGGTCTGTTTCAGCAAGAAGAGCTTGGAATGGAATAAATTAAAAAGTTGTTGGTCCCACCTGGTTTACAAGTTGCAGGTACCAAGGTGCCACTTGGGAGCTTGGGCACTGGTTCCCCTGTATGGACAAACAAGGTCTCTGAACTTTTATCCTGATTGCGAATGAACCTGACGAGAGGGGACAAAAAATATATAGTGACATTAGTGAGTACAATAAGTTCATATTTCGAAATCATGTTCATGACGCATATGCGATAGTTGAGCAGTCCTTGCTTCTGCACTTGTTTTTTGCTCACGGATTTCCCAATGCATAACGAGGACAAGAAAACATATTCACCTTTGGTACACTTTCTTCGCTTTGTGCGATCCAGCAAAGAAATGCAAACATCCGTTAAGTTTGGTAGCCTCATCTAGAGCAATCCAAAATCCTACAAGAGTACCTGGAGTGGGGTCAGTGTACAGATAAGTTGCATCTTGATGCGGTATCACTACAATGTTGGTATTCAGATTTGTCACAAAAGTCACAAAGAAAACAGGTCATATCACTACTATTAATGACTTATTTAAGTGGTAGGTAAGTCCCGTTTTTAATGGGACACATAAGGAAACAAGCTTACCTACACCTCCCACTTTTGGATGTTTGAATATGACCATGCTCTGGTTGATGGTGGCTTCCTTAATGCTCGTCAGCCTCTTTAACACCTCTTTCACTTTGGAGCTAAAAGTGATGCGTCGAAACGTGGGGTGGAAGGTGTGGAGTGCGTGGCCTACTTTGTTCAGCCCGTCTTCGGCTTTCTCCACCCTCAGACAACCAGCCTTGTCAATGGCTCCTTCCTCATAAAATCCACGAATCTTGTCCCCACTCTCTGCAAAATATGTGTCCCGCGACTGGTTCTATACAACAGTTTAGATAGCCATTAAAATTAACAGATATTGACCTGTTAGTTGCGCCATAGTCAAGGCATATGCACACACGTTTTTTAAGGTGAAAAAGCACTTCATAACCACATAAAGCATCCGATATGCACTGAACACCCGTTTCTGGTAATTATGTAATCATAGAACAACTTTATTCTTTGCATAGAAATTATCGTCCCGAGCAAAACTCGTATTAGTAGAGAATAACATGAAACCAACTAATTTGTGAAGTAGAAAATGAAGAGTGAAAATAAAATAAATGAAAATAAATTCTCAAACGAAAGGGTTAAGCGAGAGAGGTGACATTGAGATTTTTACAAATTTGATTGATAGATCGAAATAATAGCCTGTATAATAAGTTTGGCAAGCACAAACTATGCAAAAGTTGAGAAGAAAGGAAGACGAACTGGATGGAATGAGCAGCTCATGCCAAACGCATAATTACTTTTTATGAACTCACCCTGAAAATAGAAATCTGAGAATCTTTGCAATAGTCTGAAACAACTTCATTAGTCGCTGCTTTCAAATCGGCAACTTCGGACGGTGATAAAAATCCTGGAATCACTGCAAATCCGTCTTCGATAAACTAATTAAAATGTTGTCAGTTTATCAGCCAACACACCAACAGTGCAATGTACATAGTTACATACATACATATAAGACACATGTATTTACCTGACGTACAACTTTTTCGCTCACCAAATCCATAATTCACGAGAATAAAGATCACGAAAGAGCGTCCGGGTTCTCTGCACTATGCAAAGTTTTTAAATTGGCCTTCAAGAAATCCAAGAATTTTTTTTACTGCAGATTTTCTAAATGATTGCCGATAAAGTGCTGTTTCTGTAATGCCTACGTGCAATGAGAGTGGTTTTTATTCTGGAGAGATACAATTCTGTACATAATTCTCTTTATTAACCAATCCAAACGAAAGTACCACTCTGAACATGTGATATACATAAATATGTACTAGAAGTGTACTAATCTGTGCATACAAATGCATGGAGAATGGTTTATTTACTAATCTGCGTAGTAATTTAGTTAAACCTGTTATTACGTGATGTCTTATCGGCACTATACATGCATCTACTTACTAAAAAATAAGTAAAGACATATTCGTTATAGAACTGTGTTTGATTTTTTCTAATATTTGATATAATCCAACAGGCGACATCACTGCATGATAGATTTTATCTAGTTTTATGACATTGCATAATAAATACCCCAGTACAAAATTTCTTGTAGGATAATTGAATCCGTGTAAATCTTTCTTCATCACACATACACATCACCCACCATACTTCTTTTGCCGCATGTTATACTGACGTCAAATTCCTTTTGGATCATCATTTTCGTAGTAGTTTATAATTCTTGAATACAAATACATTGTGACATTTACTGCTAGTGCAATTGTCCAATGTAATATTCGTATAAAGCTATTTCAGGGATTTCCTCCACAACGTCACCGTGTTAACAATTCAGCAATTTGACCTTTTAAGTAATTTAATATGCGCTAATGAAACACGTGTTTTGAAAAATATGTATTCCGTATATTTAATGCATGTAAATGACATGTTTCGATTTTTGTAATTGTGTGGAAACCATTGGACAAATACATAAAGACAAAATGACAACGAAGAGATTGAAATGCAATGGAAATGCAATGGAAATAACCAAGAAATCCTTATCGGTGAAAAGGTTGACGTTAAGAGATATATGTTAATCTACATTTACCGTCAACTTTACCTATGAACAAAACAATAACTCAACTCACAAGGAAATGGAGCATTTCAAATAATTGTATGGAAAATTTGATGTGATACGTTCGTACAGTATTTGTTTTTATGATCAAGATTTATGATAAGACAGCTAGGATTTAAAAATATTTCCTTTTAAACACTGTTAATGTTTCGATTCCTATTGGAAGGAAACATAAACAAGCTGCAGTCCCTTTTGTATGACGTACATAACATGTTTTCGTTGTTTGATAATGATAACAATTTGCAATTGCCTGATGAGATGATGAGTATCGACCAGAAGCTGAGGTCAATTCTGTTTACATACTTGATTTTCACAAATACATATTTGCTGTACGTGCGTATGTAGCGTAAAATTGAGTTCGATAAATTACTTGCTCGCCTCATGGCCATGTACATAATTTATGTAGTTTAAGTAATTTTGCTTCCATAAATTTGAAATTCACTTAATTTTGATCATCTCATCCTGTCAAATGCTAATTGTTGTTCATATGTATTAAATATCCGCAGGTTATGTTCCACACGTGCATTGGTACTCTAGAACAAATTATACACTACAATATGTATATATTTATGTATATGCCTCTCATTAATTTTTGCACCTTGTGTTCATGCATCATAGGTTTTCATATACTCAAAATTAATGATTAAATGCATAATGATGAGAAATATCATAAATTTGAATTGCTACAACGTTTCCTGAAATAATTTGTTTCAAAACTTTCTTTCATAAGAAATAAATAAAGGTTCTTATTTACAAACTCATATTACTAATACTTAAATTTATGAATATATTCTTTGATAAACAATGGAATCTATAAAAGGTGAGAAAGTAACAGTTGTGGAATTTTTCTTGCCATTTCGTATGAATTTCATGGTTATATGTAATCAGGCCGAAATTTCTTATTATGATAGTTCTCATGGAGGAGCTATTTATTTATTTTTGTATATATTTATATATGTAAGTAGTACTTTGATATATGTACGTTTTTCATTCAAATCTTTGAAAATCTGCAATTATTAGTAAATGCCATTTTACCAAGATCGTGAAGAAAGGTCGACGCACTTAGGAATAGATTAGTTTGAAAGCATAAGGAAAAAATATTGTTAAATTTTATGCCGGGATATTCTTAATGCTTAATCTTAATTTTGATTAATTACGTACTTTGTACGCACAAAATGAAGATTTTATAAGTGTTTTAATTTTTCTTACAAGTAAAAAGTATTGAGAGCATGCTAAAAACAAATGATCGTTAATCAACCGAAGGTCTCAAATATCTCTGAAAGAGGCAAATAAATAACTGACCTCTGCGTACGTATGTAGATATCTATATCACAAATCTCAGTTCGTTGTTAATTCATCTACTTTGTAGGCTATAGCATATATGTATCCCTTTAAAAAAACAAGAGGAGGAAACCGTGAGAAAATATTCGAAACATAATTTACAAGAGGAAATAGTTTCGTAAATTCATTCTCCTCTCAACAATGACTCACCAGCGAGTTTACCTTGGCTAATGATTGGCAGATAAATTTCTCACCTATACATTTATTTTTTAAACTTGTTCCGTTTATAATCCGTTTTGGAACGTATTTATGACTCATATGCAGATCTGCAATTCAATTCAGGAAATTTGTATGAAGCATGGAAACACATTGCACACGCAAATGGCGAGTACAGGTCATATTATCCTGAGAATAGAATGGCGTCAAATGTGAATAAAATAAAGGAGCGGATGTCTTGCAACTTTTTTGTTTACAACCCACGTTTGCAAATCATTGCCAGGTAATCTGCAATGTGCTGTCTTCCTTAGCGATGAATTATCTATCTATGTATCCCACATGCCAGGGTGATGATGAATTAGTGAGCACATACGGCAAATTATAATGACTCAGTAGTTATTATATTTAATTTTTTTGCATTTGTTTTATTGGTTATTCTTAAACTTGACTCGTAGTCATACACTATAATACTTAATGGGTGATAACAATAAAAAACGCATTCTCATTCAGCATTCACATCGGGTTTAATGAGACAAAAAGTTGAATGCAATTATTATTAGAAATTAAGTCAGAGCAAAAAGTTACGGCTGGATAAAAATTGCGGATGCTATCCGCAAGAGTATATTTCTGACGATGATACATAAATACATTAACAATGGAGATAAATACGAAAAGCTATTGTAGTTGTAAATCTGAATATAAAATATCTGGGATCGTAAAAGTTTAGTGCTTTTCTTGATAATTGTTGACTATTGGCATATATTCGTACTCAATAAAAGTACTCATTAAGTATGGTTATTCATGTATATGCATTATTAATATACACGCGGTACAATGATAAATATCTATATGTACGGTACAATATAAACATCAACTATTTAAATATACGCAAATACATAGGTATGGTGATCTACAGGGTAAATTGTAGTTGTATAAAAGTAGTATAGAATCTTTGGTATCCGTTTGAACGACATTAGGAATGTATGTAGTAGTATGTTGGTAATATATATGTATATTTTTGTGTGTGCATGTACTCAATGCAATTTAATGCAATGCGGATAACCTATTGTTGAAATATCTGTGTCATACTCGTCATTGTAACAACGGATGGTGAGTAAGTGACGCAGGTTGGTTGATTGCAAAGGTAACTTACAACATTATTCATTCTGCATACATACATACACTTCAATACAATTAGATTATTAAGTGAGTGAAACCAAAATATCATGTCGCTCATGACGCGAATGTAAAATGTAATATTTAGCTGCGCGAGGAGTTCACAAGCTCCTTGCGGGCTTGTGTTGCCTGCTGAGTTTTCTGAAGAGAGATGAGATGGTTTTAGCAGATTCTTTAACTTTTGAAAATCTCAATAGATTTACGTCTGACTGGTTAGAATTGACTAGTTGCATACTTTCTCTGATCTGAGGTTGAGTCTGTAGTGTGAGATCTATCTTCACGTCTGGTAATAATAATGAGCTCGTGTATAATACTCATCTTCTTGGCCTTCTCTCCCTCTCGCTTTCTCTGGATGTTCTTAAGTTACATGTTCGACCCCATCATCATTCGTGGTTATGGAGTCGTCGTGAAGATGAGGAGGTTGGTTTGTAAAAGTAAAACTGAGAAAACTTCTAATAAGACCACTACCGCTACTTTATGATGAGTTTTGGTATTTTTCTGGATGCAACAATTCCATGTAAAGGTCAGACTTGAGAAATCGGGAATAAGCATCTGCTTCTAAAAGACCCTGGACTCTCTTCTGAGCTTGATCGAATGTCGAGGGGGTTGGCTGTGCCATTTTTGAAACAAGTCCATCTCGTGTTAAAGCGTCAAGGTTTACCTGTGAAACAAATGAATATGACATACAGTTAGTCAACGGTTGGCTTAACGAGGCACCATCCACATTACACTTTTTACTCATTGCACAAAACGATGCCAGCATTCTAAAGATTGCTGCAACAATGCAACAAACCTAGACATTTTCGTGCGATAAGTATGTATGTGCAAGTAGATAATAAGTAAATGAGGTAAGCGCCAAGTCTATTTGTCCGTGAAGGACATATAAAAGCGGAAAACTTACTTCCTTGGGTGCCTGAGCGATTACGAATTCGTTATAGATCTTCTGAGCTTTGCTGTTCAATTTATTTTGTCGACTTTTTCGATAATCCTGAAATATTGTGATAACATGATACAATTATTGGCGTGAAACACAAGTCACAAGGTTGAAGGTGGAATTTTAGTACAACTTACCTCAACAGCTAACCAAAATTCAATGTTCTCCTCGCTAAAGAATAATAAAAAGATAAATTTTGTTAACAACGATATTATAATACCCATATTATTTTGTCGTGTTGTTACAATTAGTGCATTTTATTTTATAGTCTACACTGATACATAACTGTGATTCTCACCTAAACTCCCTTTGCAGGAAAGCTGTGAATAAGGCTTGTCCATCTGTGGAGAAAAAAAGTTGAACCATTAATTTGATGAATTAATATGGAAGTTATAATGAGGAAAGTAGGTGGTGGTAGAAGACACTGGGTCAATGAGCAAATTATTCTTAAGGTTGCCTCCTTTTGTTAGAAACACTATTTTCATGGACATCCAAAAGAAGTGTGCAGTTGTACAAAGTTGGTCGGACAGTATGATTCTTTACAGGGTAGTAAACAAATATAACGGTCCACACCACAAATATGCATAGAAATAGGAAAGTGTGGTGCAAGTGGAAAGTTGTTGGGTATATAAAATTTCAATTTAAAGTAATGAAATTAATCGCATGAGCTTACATTTGGAGGCCATGAGATCGCTGAAGGAGTTTGACCATTTCTGAGCCTCTTCGGGCACCGGTCGGACTGAGGATGGATTGATTGTACCTTCGGTGTGTCTCCTTTTGAGGAACCCCAGGCGGAATTTTATATCTGTTCCTCTGTAAGAAAATAAAAAAACGTAACGATTAGATCTTACAGTTTTCGTGTAACGACATTGACCCAGTTTCCTCCACATAGTCAATTCCTGCTCCTAACAAATTCTGCCATCTCCTTGTCAAAGATTATGAATAATATGACGCAAGTTAACATTGACGTTTTGTTCCCACGACTTTTCTCTCATTTCATGAAATATAACATTTTATCGAACCGACTAATAATACGCCACCCAGTCTCAAAATCTCATCACGCCTTCGTGTCTCACCATCATTCTCACTTTGGCTCATCGTCAGAATAAAAAATCCTTCTCACACTTGTTCAATTTTTTGGCTCGCGTGACACCCAATAAGAATCTATTTTAAGCTAAAGGTTGTAACAATTTATGTATAAGACTTGGCGTAGACGGTTGAAGATGTATGATACTTATTGTAAAATTGCAATTCAATTTTTGTAAGTAAGCCAACCCCGTCAATATTCCAAAAATCGGAGATTATGTATATGTATTCAAACCAAAGTTGCGATAATTGCGATGAGTAAGATTATAAAATAGTGAAATATTAACCTTTTAAATAGTTGCTTAAACGGAGATTTCTGTTCGCTGGGGACTATTAGTGTGACTCCAGATTTCTCTTCACTGAGATTTGGGATCATTTTGCCTCGATTTGAATTTCTCACAAATGCAGATGCAACAAGACAGTTAATGTTTGTGCAGACTTTTGCGTTTCACGTTCACTTTGAGAAGTTATGATGAGTGCTAAACCACAACTGACTATTGAAACCTGTGCTGGTTCACCACCACGCTATCTCCTCGCACCACCACTGCTAGCTTAAAGTACGTCACTCAATAGGTACGATAACTTTTTTTCTTGCACCTTTCAACTCTTTGCCAACCAATTCACGTCACAACTGCCCAAGCATACAACAAGTAATTGACTTGGACTTGGCTGGTCAGTGGTCACACCCGTTAAGCCAGTTGGCTTGGAAGATGCAACTATGACGAAGAAGAAGAAGAGAGATGATTTTGATATTACGAGTAAAAACTGTTCTCAAGTTGTTCTGATAACTTATGAGAAAATCGCAATTTTCTGTGTGTAGGCTTCAACTTTGGTCTGACGAAGGTAATGGAATCCGTTCCTAGATACGAGATTGGGTTCACAAAAGGTATGTTCTCGTTGAGACGATGAGAATGTGTTGTAGTTGTGACTTGACGAGAGGTGATCTTGGGGGCAAGGTGATTTGTGTGGGGCAGCAGAGAGATAAGAGTTGTGCTCTGAGAACGGGTTACGGCAGAATGAGCTATGCCGAACAACATGTTCTCGTTTTATACAAAGAATGGAAGGATTGCCTCACAACAACGCAACGCAGCGAGGATATCCACTCCCGAGCCATACTGCTCGTCGATGAGAGAATTTCTACCCGCACACCATCTCCATCCATCCATATATCCATCCTTCCTCTCGACTCTCTACCCGAACTGCTACGCAAACGGCAGCTAATCTAATTGCAATCTACCTCTAATCGCAATAATGTGACTATAATTCTTTGTTTTTCTCTTTTGTGTGACATGTTTTTTTATGTATTTATAAATTGAACTGTCGATCCCACAACAATCATTCAACCAAAACCTATGACCAAACCGATCATGTGCTTCAATAAGAGTCTTTTGCTCAGGTTAATTAAAACTTTGATCCGTCCAAGAGATTGACTATAATTTTCCCATCAGAATCATGTGTGCATAGCAAAGATAAAGCATAAATACTACGTGACCACCGTCCAGCTTACATCTGCAGTGACGCCATAGAAGAATTATCGAATACCTCAAGTCAACTGATGGGAACAATTCTAGTAAACAAATGCGAGTGGACGGATGTCGGGAGACGCTTGTGTATACACGTCACATGCATACGCATAGGTGAATGATTCACCCATTTCTATTATATAACTAATTAGTAAGCTTAATGAAAATGATACAAATGAGCCAAGCAGTTCATATTCTTCTACAAATCAACCTCGCTCATCATAAAGAAATTCAGCAGAAGAGGAATCAACAAAAACTGGCAGCAATCACCGTCACTCATCCTGTACCTCTCTCTGGTCCACAATAATGGTCGATAAATGTGCACAATATAGTGAATATGAATACGTAATCCCCTATTTCCAATATTTTCTGCACTGTTTTGTGAAGATACGTCATCAGTGATGTTGATCACAAAACAAAACAGTTTGCATTACATTTCATCAGTATGTTTTTTTGTTTATTTGAATAAAAGTACATGCACTTAGGAGGGGAGCTTGCGAGGTTGATAATAACAGATCCTGATGCCCTTTGGATATGTGGTAGGGTCCCATGAGTGTACTAAAACCCTGAAGTGGTTTGACTCCATAGCCACATTTGCGCCCGCCACACCCACTCAAAAATGCCCAAAAAACGCTTTCACTCCAGGTTTCACTCATTCAAATCCACGCCAAAAATCCAATTTTACTCGGATTTTGAAATTTCTTTCACCATTACACTCCCAGATAGTTGCTTTCTTCAATCCAATGTCAAACTCAATTTTGATGATGATTATTTCGCAGGCATAATTTGCGTTGTGGATTACTACAACAATGCTCATTCAGAATTTTAAATTTTAAAAATACTAATAATTTCGAAAATATTGAGTTTGATATCGAATTGAAGAAAGCAACTATCTGGGAGTGTAATGGTGAAAGAAATTTCAAAATCCGATCAAAATTGGATTTTTGGCGTGGATTTGAGTGAGTGAAAACCGGAGTGAAAGCGGTTTTTTGAGCATTTTTGAGTGGGTGTGGCGGGCGCAAATGTGGCTATGGAGTCAAACCACTTCAGGGTTTTAGTACACTCATAGGACCCTACCACATATCCAAAGGGCATCAGGATCTGTTATTATCAACCTCGCAAGCTCCCCTCCTTAGTGCTTCATGGACGTAATGTGGCATGCATACGTGGATTGTTTTGACTTTGAATTGTCCATCTAACACTCTAATAATGGAGGCAATTGTGCGTAGTGTTTATTGACTCACACCACCCACTAGGCACACAAATAAAGCAATTTCACGAAATGCGCTGGGGAGGTCATTATTGAAGATTGGCATAAGCAATAAGACATGCTGTGTAACTATATAGTGTAGCTGCATATTGTACATACGTGTGCATACACTGTTGTGCTAGAATAGACTAGAATTTTGCAGCAGTTTGTAAATGGTACGCATTTGCATACTAAACAAATAGTTTTATGACGCCTTTGGCTGACCGGATACAAAATCATTTGAAGCGGATGAGCTATATACTTAAATTTTAAATAATTTTAAATAACGTGTGAGTCATGTGGTTGGTAGCGTTTGCTACTACACAATTTATAGATTTTCACAATACTGAGCCAATGGGTTGTCATAAACAAATTCGTAAAAATCTATTTAAAAAATCATTCGTCGCTGGACATGTACGTTTTTGCGAGCCTTCGTCATGAGAATTTTAACATTTTGAACCAGCTTCACTAGTTCCGTAATAATTTAAAAAGCAGTGACGACTTTCTGTCTACATGAATACAAAATTATACGATCGTACGAATCGTATCACAATTAATTTGCATGAAGGATATAAATTGGCCAGGTGTTAGTGCCAAAAATGTTGGTCTACCCGATTGCAAGCCTTGTCCATGTAAGCGCATATGTGTAAGTAGATACATATTGCATATAAATAGTAAAAGTACAGATATATTTATAATATCGCCAGTGCTCCAATCTGCTTTATTCAAGTCTTTGCATTGCAGGCAGTATTAAACTACATATATTCTACATATATTCTACTTCTTTCTGAGGTTAACCGAGTTTACTACAATACTTCTTTATGCAGCAAACAAGAGTGAGCCGCCGTGCACCTGTTTTTGCTAGTTAAGCTAATGGACTATAATTAATAACGAAAGTCCACCCACACACCTGAGACGAGTCAACCTACTAAATTCGTTTTGGTACGAGAGAAAATCATCCAAGCACATAATGTGATTTACTCGACGAGAACAATAAACATGACAATAATTATGTAACTATATTTTGTAGAATTTCCCCTCAAAACAGACTCGCAGTTGGTCTTTCTTTTGTGTATTTTTATGTGTCAAAATACAAACATTGTTGACTATATGTTGGGTCGACGTCATCGTGAAACTCTACACAAATATGTACTGGACAATGTGGAACAACAACATGTTAGCTGACAAATAATTGGTATATGTATTTACCACGATGGGTGGGCGAGCGATGGGGCTAGAAATGTGTAATGAGCATTATGCAACACATAATATGCATTCCACATACGTGAGCATTTCGTGTGAAAACACCAATTTTGTTCAATCGCATATGTGCATTTACACAAGATCCGATTATTCTATTGGCGAATATTTTTTAATGAAGCCTAATTGTCAACATGTTTTATAACCTGTGTAGAATTGTGAATAATTTACAGCACGAAGAGTGAAGACTCAAAGTGCATGCGTAATATATATATGCATAGGTACATACATACGTATGTATGTACGTATGGATGGAGAAATATCAACTTACAGTAAATGAAAGTCACCTTTAAAGCAATACATATTTCAAAATCTTAGCTCTCACTTATTGCGTTTTCTGGTCTGAGTTTCCTCATCCGTGTCATCAATTTTCTGTAATGGTTCCTTGGAGCATTCTCCTCCGAATTTCTAAAAAAAGATTTTACATAAAAATCAAGAACATTTTCCACATCATATTCAAATGAAGAAGCATAAGCTGACAAACCTTGCACATTTCACACTGTATGTATTTATATATGCATGTTTGTACATATATGTACGTATGTACGTTTAGCCAACCAATAAATGAAGCAGTTTGAGGTGGTGGTACTGTACATGCATGTGTATCTTCATATACAAGTTTAGGTTCTTAAGAGAAATATGGTCAAATCCTTATGTCGTCTCCGGGAGTTAATGAAATATGGGATTTGGCACACATATCACATCACATCTGTATTATTAAACAATTCTTGGTCTTGAATCAAGACACATTATTCAACGTCTGTGACCTAATGTGGTCCCAACTTGTCTACACACACTTGGTCGATCCAAATTAAACAAAACCCAAGTTAGACATTGCACACGTGCGGTTCTAATTTCATGGCTGAAGTAACCACGTTACACCATAAGCACCACCACAAGAATAATAACCTGCCCACATTCAATTTGTTCGCTAATGCTCAATCGCCGAGAAAACAATTCATACAAAGCTTTTATATGCAAACACCTTAATTGATAAGTTTTCTAGCATATTTACTTCGTAAGTACTTACATTTGATGTGAGTTTACATATTCTAAATAAGTACAATGGACATAAAGTCTCACTAGGTATTTTACACATATGACCTTCTTTAGATATGCGAGTCCTTGTTTCTTATCAACTCCATAAAAATAATTTTCCTCCAGCACATTAGAATATTCAGCACTGACAAATACTTACTGATAGATCTTCAATCTATGCTATTTAAAACGACGTATGTATAAACAACTAAACCACCTGCCTACATAAAGATCAGAAAAACAAACTTTTTCAAAATCTTTTATCAATCTAGAGCATTGATGGGGAGAAAGAAAATTAGTTATTGCTTTGACCATCTAGCTTATTTTGGGAAATGCTTGTTCCGAGTGAGTAAAAAGCGTGAGAGGAGTGGAAGATTTCCAGGATATAATTGCATGGACATTGAAAACATTGTTGTTGCTTGTGTACAAAAAAACAACAAAGTGAAATTGATGCGCGTGGCTGAGGATACACCGAATTCATTTCAGCAACAGCATAATCAGCATTTTGAAAGAAAAACATCCCCGGAGTTTGAACAACATCTAACGTGAGGGTTTTATCGCTAACGGCCGAATGAATCACAATTCTTTCCCAAGTGTCGTGCAAACAGTCCGAAGTTGCGTGGGCTTTATTCATGAAAGCTTTTACCAACTAATAATTCTTTCTTCTTATTTGAGCACACATCATCCTTACTCAAGATGGTTTTTTATATAACGTGTTTGCCCAATGTTTCAAAAGGACAGACCTCTTTTCCTTCTGGACTCCAAAGACACGGTGTAGCAGATCAAAAATTGCGACGCAGCCAAATAATAAAAAAACAGTTTTAATGAAAATGGAAATCGAGGCATCCACTTCAGATGGACGGATTGATATTTGCTATGATTTGAAGAGGAGCAGATAAAGAAAAAGAGGATGGAAATAGACACATCAAAGTTTTTCTTGAGTGTTTGTATGCGGGGTCAGTCGAAAATATTCATGTGGTGAACAAAATAGTCCTTGATGAAACCAAGTAACAAAATAAGTGGTGACATCCCCATTACGTTACACATTATCCCTTTTTCTTACCTCCACGAGGCATTTATGTTGTGAGTGACAGCACTTCACGTTATCTTCACCACGTGTTTGGATTATCTGACGAGTGCTTCTTTATTAAATCATACAAAATTCTTATTCCAATATGGACTTTAGCCGAAGCGTGGCGAAATTCCTTCCCTCAACTTTCCTATTGTAACAGGATAAAGGTGCGCAGAATTTATGTATGTATCTACACGTAGTAGGAATGATTGATTGATTACATGTACCACTGATGGCTTGCGGAGACGATGACGTCAACATACACTTATGCGGCACACGAGCTAATGGCATTATTGTTCTATTGTCACCCGATTTTATTCGATTAATATTTGGTGAAAGTACATTGGACCTGTACTGCGAAGTTATTCTCGACCGTCGCAAATCCTGGTTGCTACTAGCACGAGGCACGGGGAAAGTATTATGCAGGATGCTTCAGACATGTTACAGTTTGACGACGACAAGAGGATAAGTGGAGATCACGCACGATAAGACTGCCCGTGCTGTTGGCCTACTTAGACAGTCGTAAATATTGTAAACGTAAATTACTGTTGCTGGCTTATTAAATACATCAAAAACAAAGACGTCTGTCTCATTTCCTTCTTGCATGACATTATGGATGGCTAGCGTTAATTGTACGATGGCGATGAAGCTCTCTACTTCTCGTCTCAAAATACTTTTGTATGTACATATGCGTGTATGTCTAGCGTGTAATTCACGCTAACTGGATTCACGCTGTGAATCCAGTTACTGATCGACACATGTGCCCTTATATGCATGCACTATTTCATTACATGATGTTTTAATGTTTTGTCATAAATTTTGAGTGTAAAGTTTCAAGTGCGTTTTACAGATTTAGGAAAGATAAAAATGGTGAGGTTTGAGGATAATTAATTTTTGTCATATTTTGTATTGTGTTGATCGGAAAACTAAATAGTGAATACTTTCCACGAATTTGCTCTGATAAACAGAAAAAAACAATATTTCTGCAGAATTCCTTTCCGACTAGATTAGTCAATACGAGAAAAAATTAATTCAATTAAGGAACAAAAGAATGAGTGTAGATAAATTATTTCTTTATTAACTTTTGATTGTTGATGCTTGACTTATTCTCTTCAATAAAAACTCAGCATGGTTAATGTTCATAATTAACATTTCTCAGAACTAAAAGAAAGTTCCTACCGAGTATATTTATCAGAGAAGCTCGTTTTTATGCCGTTGCGTTTCTAAGAATACGATTCTGGATACTTGTACTGATGTAATTAAGCACTACAAACAAGATTTGTCAATCACTTTTCTTAATACTCCAAGTCCAAGTCCAAGTGAATGACGGCGCACATGACCGACAATAAAGATGGTAAAAAAACGTGTTTTTAAGCCGTATGGTGCCATGTTGCTCTGAATCTAAATTAATATAATTCCCGAAACTTGAATAAATAAATTAGTTACAGTAGACTGCGTACATTGCTTAAGATAACTTTTCTAACGCAATAAGAAACCTAAATTGCATATGAATAAATGTGCGATTCTGATTTAGCTTATAAGGTGTAAATCGGTTTTCCCACTAGTATGCATGAAAATGCATTTGTATTTGCAATATTCTGAGCTAAACATGAATCCTTTGCTAACAAGGCTATTAATTTACTCATTTAAGTCAGTCGTACTGCTGACACACCCACAATAATGCCACAATATGCAGCAATACTTACAAATTAATGGCTAATCTGGACTTCTTGTGATGTTTGTGATGGTGTCACTACTTCGGAAATAGGAAAATATCATAGTATAAAATAAAACACCATGAGAATTAAATTTGGATACTAAATAAGATTATGCTGGTGAGAATGAATTACAATGTGAAACTACAACCGCTCCTTTCTATGCCGATCCCAAGCACAAATCCAAAAAAGGATTAAAAAAACACCTTTGTGCATGCGAAAATTCTATTCATTTTAGGGTTGGTGACACGAACACAAAGAAGGTGTCTTTTTAAGGAAGATTCACATTAACCCAGACACGTGGAGATTGGCAAGACAAGAGTTCCTCTAACCATGACGTGTTCCTTACGTCACTGCATCCTCTTCTTCAGGTCCATCCACGTGTCAGAGCTACATACATTACTTATAGTGATCATTCATTCAACGGTAGCAGCAGGGGGCAAAGGATGGACGACGACGATGAGGAGGGAGCGCGTCGTCGAGTGCTTTTTCAGCCTGTCCTATGTGCATAGGCTACGACTTTCCCCGACGAAGAAGGCCAACCAGCTACGCACTTCACGCATGATGGAAGAAAGCTATATGCGTTCATTTCATTCATGGCAGAAAATAGAGGCCACCGCCGAGGACGAAGGAAAGTGCGTCGGATTGCTGCCGATTAGAAACTAGCTCAAACGATTCCTTTGTGACGTCTTTGTTCACCTCCTTTCTTTCAAAGTAGCAACGTGAGCAGGTTAAAAAGTCAAAGATCCGTTTTATCTACTCGCTATACACTCTATGTACACAGCTCCAATATGAGTGAATAGGCAGTAAAAATAGAAGAAATTACGTCCTTATGTATGGAGATTCTCCTTGTCAATAGTATTCAACTTGTAGGGTCTGTCATTTCACCCACAGGTAAATTCCAATTTACTTTGTTATGCATCTACGGAAGTGATTATGCTCTGATAAAAAAGGTTGAAAAGTTCAATTGAAATGTATTATTGAAGTAAATTCATTGGGTCGTGTAATAGTTCTACATAATTTGCAGTTCATTTGCAGTTCACAGAGTGCAAGGACTTTTGTCTATCTACTACATATTTTGTGGCTAATAACAATCTGTCTTTAAGTTTATTTAAGTACATACATATAACATTAGAAGAGCAAACTTTAGTCGCATTTTTACACATTGAACGCCTACTCTGTATGTGCAATATGTGGTGACAGTTTCTGGAATTTTAGAGCTAAGCGCTGACAACTGACGTGGTTCGATTAGCATTGGAAATTAAGCCGAACTTGTGACGTAATACAAATGGAATTGATCGTCTCATTCCAGAGCAATCGAGATTCAATCATCTCAGGTTAATCCTTGATACAGAAGGGAAATTGGCAGGATAATATCCATTATTTTTGTCATTATATGTAGGCCCTACCTATAAGTATTCAGTCCCGATTCCCACTGGCTAGGATACACTAATTGACGAATAAAATATAATTTGTGGATGAAATGACACATCTAGGAAGCCACATATCAAAAAATATCTAGGAAACACGTCACCGTGTCCTCGATGATGTAAGTAATACAAATAATGTGCTTTCTTTGTGAT